TAGAGGATAAATTTCCAGCTTACTTAGTACTTGAAGGCTGTTGAATGTATTGGGTTAATATTTTGTTTGTTTTTTTCTTTGCTAATCAATGTGTAATGTAAGAATTGACTATAATTTTAAAAAATAATAATTATTTTCTCATTTCTTTTGAATATCTTTTCCACTTCACAGAAATACATTGGCAAATATGCCCTAGATTCTTCAGTCATTCTGGAATCTGGCAAATTTAGAAAGTTGGATGAGCTTTTACCACAGATGAAAGAAAGAGTAAGTACACTTTCTGTCATTTACTTTTTTCTTGTTGGATGTTTTATTATATCTATTTATAATGTCTTACAGTCATGAGGGCTTTCCAAAGTTCCTTCTATTTTGTTTTATCTTGTTATGGAAATGAATTTTTTGTATCCAGAACCCAGACTTGGTTTTGGTGATTTGCTACTTCCAGTTATAATTTATAATAGTCCATGGCCCAATAAATAATATTTGTTGGTACCCAATGAAAGCTTAACTATTTTATGATTTTTGATACCAAGTTCGGTGATTTGTGGCAGAGAAATAGCAGGCTATTTTATATCAAGAAAAAGCTACCCTCTGTTTCCATATTTTTAGAATCGGAAATTAAAAACCCACTGATATGCACATGTTATATTAATATTAGAATTATTAAATTATTAAATTCAGCTCGAGTTTGCATTTCGAAAACAATGATTCATGTAAATTTTACATATTTTCTTCACAAAAACACCCCAGTGAATTTTTTCCTAAGTAAAAATGAGTGCTGGCTAAACTAAAAAAATCTACAATGATATCAAAAACAACATATGGGGAAAAACCCTTATTATCATAAAAAAAGGAAGGATAGGGACTGATTTTTACTAAGATGATGGCGACCTTGATATTTCTAGATCTGGCAGTAGGAAACTCAAAATAGGGTTAATTTTTGTTCTTTTTTTTTTAAAAAATAAGTGTTTGCAGTTATTAGTGATTCATTGTGTGTTTCCATTTGGCTATTTACATGTTACATTACAACTGTCTAATATGTTACAACTGATTGTTGTTTGAGAAACCCAAGCTATGAAAATTTGAATTTTTTTTTTTAACTTAGGGTGACCGTGTGCTTCTCTTCAGCCAGTTTACAATGATGTTGGATATAGTTGAATTATATATGGAAAAAAGGGGCCACAAATTTATACGTATGGATGGTCAAACACCTGTGCCTGATAGGCAAGTTTTAAAATAATGTTTAAGGATATTTTCCTTTTAAGAGACTTAAAAAAAAATCTTTTTAATAGTTGCATTTCTTATTCTTAATTAATTTGTATCTTTAGACTAACTGACTAATATAAAAAGTATTTTTACATCGAGTTGTTATTTTAGGATAATTTGTTTCTTAATTATAGTCTCATCAGATGTGAAAATCATCAAAATTATGCTTTATCAGCCTTTGTCTGAAGAATGCCCAATCACTTGCAAAAATAATTTTAATTGCGGGACATTTTTTGTAAACCAACTTTGAAAGTATAGAAAGCTTGCCAATTTTTTAAAAAGTCACTTATATGACTGAATTCTTGTTGCCTCTTATTGGATAAAAACCAAAACATTTGAACATTGTACTGTAAATTCAAATTCTCCATTTATTTATTAATGTTTAAATCAGTAAAACAATTAAATTAGTGACATGCCAGAAAAAAACAATAAAGTGATTTTTAATCTCAAGATGTATTTTTACATATTATGAAGTTAAAGCCACACCAAGGTTATATTATTTAATATATATTTATTCTCTCTCCATCCAGACTACAATTGATTGACAGGTTTAACAATGAGCCAGATATTTTTGTGTTCCTTCTATCAACACGTGCTGGTGGTATAGGGATAAACCTGGCAGCAGCCAACACCATCATCCTTCATGACATCGACTTTAACCCTTACAATGACAAACAGGCAGAAGACAGATGTCATAGGCTTGGTCAAAAAAGGTTCGTTTTTTCTTGTCTCGATTAATCAGTTTTGCCTAATAGTTTTTGTTTATTGTAATTAGCAGCAACAAATGTTAAGTTAAACTTTATACTCTGGGATATCAAAAAAACAACATTTTACTTTATGGGTGCTTCTATTTTCACTTTGCAATTTTTAACCTTCTAGCAAAACAAAAACAAAAATATTTAAATTACTTTGCTTAATACTTATTTCCTAAAAAATAAAAGATTTGCTTTTTTTAACTTAAGGCTGGCCAGTTGAAAATGGATGGCCATAAAGTATATGACTTTAAAAGAGAATTCTCTTAAAATATAAATCTGCTAAATTAATTTTAAAACTTGGTCCATGCATAATTTTGATTTTGAGTATTTTTAATCTGAATGTTTCTTTCCGACAGGGAAGTGACAATCATCAGGTTAATCTGTGAAGATACAGTGGATGAGGCAATGTTGAGATGTGCAAATGATAAGCTGACGTTAGAAAAGGATTTAACTGGACCAACAAATGGTATGTGGTTTGTTCTCATAGAAAACCCAGTCATTTTATCAATTAGTAATCATTATTTTAAAAGTTACCCTTGCCCTTGTTTGACATTAAAGGAGTTACAGGACCGAAGCATGGGAAAAATAATGTAAAATACCGCATAAAATTACCAGTTATAAATACAATTCACTTTATTTTATTTCAGTATGTCCCAAAATAATTTATTTTGAACAAAGTGTTTTTTCCTTGGGCTGGGATTTCATGGGGGGTTAATTTCTGAGTCTGAATGGGTTTAGTTGCTCATTTAGATTTACATGTGACTTACGAAACCAAGTGTAAAGCTAAACATAATCTGTGTTCTTATTTCATCTGTCAACAGGAGAGGAGAGTGAGGAGAACTCTAAGGATGTTGTAAACTTACTGAAAGAAGTGCTGAGATCTAGACAGAAGCGGAAAGATGACCACTCTGAGGGTACCTCACTACCAACCATCACCAGTGGTAGCAGTAAAAAAGACTCAAACTTATGACCTCAGGTGAAAGCATTTACCTGAAACAACTATCATCGAGCTGGTTTCATAGGCATTCTGTAAATAAAGACATATTTTTCTAGTGTTATATTTTGTTTAGTTTTTTAAAATACTGGACAAAAATATTTTTTTTAGCAGTGCCTGACATTGACTAATGCAGGTGTCTGCGTCTAACAAATTTGTGTTGCTCCTAGGACTTTTGTTGTTGTTGACTGTTCATCATGTAATCAATGCCAAAGAGTTGGCGTAGAACAATCATTGGCTTAAGTTAAAGTTTTGACATCAATGATAGTTCCTAATTAAACCTTTCAGTTCCCTAGTTGTCTATGTGATATTAAATAGTTTTAAATTGTGCGGTGGCAAGAATCAAAACTTATTTTACATGAGTCCATTAAGTATGAGCTGCTTCCGCTACCTGGTAATTAATTAGTTGGAAGTAGAGTTAATGAATTCCTTAATTGCTCTCAATCTTACACTGGAGAATTAATTCTGTTTAGTTTCTTATCTTCTTAAAGAATAAATATAAGATAAAATTTGCTAGATGAATGAATTAATAAATTTAAAAAATTTTTAAATCTTTTTTTTTTAAATTATGGTCAAGCTTCGTTAAAGCTTCATTAGTCAGTAACATAATCTTGTGTAACAAAAATTGCCTTTAAAATATTTTCAGTGACCAATTGTTAAGAGTGATAGCTAGCTAACTGAAAACAACTGGAAAGTTTCTGCCATGGCCATGAGGTTCTAATCTAGAATTGTAATTTTTGTCTTTATGCATAGAATGTTTTTCCTAAGATTTTAATGAGTGACAATTCGTTAAAGCATTCATGTTTAGGTTACGGTATATAATTCATATTTTTTTTTTATTGTACTTCACAGACCAATGAATTTTTTTGGATACAGGTAGTCTATAAATATGAACATGGCTATTAAGGTTGTAGTGTAAGCATCTAGTAAATATGTCTTTTCTAATGTATATATTTGCCTCCTGCGTTAATCATGTCCTATTCCTGCTTTTTGATCAATTCTTTTGTTAAATTTTTGTCATTTTCAACTGATCCTGTTTTTTATTGTAGCAAAAAAGTGCTCTGAGACAGTTGTCTTTATTTGTTTCTCTTTATTGTGCTTACTGATCATTCAATTTTATGTGTGTCAATTTTGCCAAATAAAATACAAGTTGAAGATAATGATTGTTAGGTGTTCACTTTATTTTCTTACAATGTTCAGTATTACTATTAGCGTCACCATTTATCAACCTGTTCCAACTAGTGTCTGTAATCGCTCTTTTGTATAAATGCACACCATGTTAAAGAAATTAGAAAGATTTCAATAATGGAGACTTTTCCCCTGAACCAATCCATGATTGACAGGCATTCAATTCATTAGTCATTGCCATAAGGGACATTACCCTCCAAAGAAGGAAAGTGGAACCTAGGCCGAGGAACTGCAAAAGAAACGAGGTTGGGGGGGGGGGGATATTGCTATCCCCAACACATTATATACGGATATATAGCCCAGAACCCAATGTTGAGCATGCTCTGCAATATCTTTAGTGCTGGAATAAATGGAGTCGATTAATATTTAAATTCTTGTCTATCCTTGGACCTGTACACATTTCTCAGACGTATTTTTCACACAAAAAAATATGAAAAAATGAAGAATATATTTCTTTAGTGATTTGGTTGCTTCAGTTGTAGTCTACACTATAAATCTGTTATGAAAAACACCATATGCCACAGTAACGATCATTTCTATAAAGCCACAAGCTCAAGTATTATAGAGTGACTCATGTATGACTAACGACTAACATACATAATAACTCCAGCCATCTGTCGAGTGAACCAAAAATTAGAAAAAAAAACAAACTGAGTCAGTGTGTTATGAAGGCACTTGATATCAAAAACATGGGCAAAAACCATGGGCAAATCTTCTGCAAAGTCGTATTTTGCAATAACAGTGATGTTATGTTAAGGTTATGTAGTCCTGCTTCAAATTTCATTTGTGATGCTCTCAACTGCCTACTTGGAAATGACGCTTCGAGGGTAGGACGGGCCACCAACACACACCCTCATTCTCATTGAAACGCCTCTGGGGTTTATCCTATTTAATTGGCACATCAGGAACTCTATTTTTGAAGCTGACACAGAAATGATATGTCCCAGACTTGTGTTGTGTGCTCAGACTTGAACTTTAAGCAACAAGACGTAGACGTAAGCCTACATTAATTTAAGATTGATAGTGGGATATCTTTAATATCTTTTGGATACATGGTAAGTCATGCTATTGAAATATTAAGGCTAATGGGACATATCTTACACACACGCACTCCCATATAACCTACATACACACTGTTACACACACACACCACATATTATATATATATATATATATATATATATAATTTTTTATATATATAATATATTATGGGTTACGATTTCTCTTTTCACTAATACACTTATTTTTTTTTTACATGCTGCTATGCAAGATCACTATGTTGCTAATCATTGTAAATAAGCTTGAGCGTTTCTTTTTAATCCATCACACAATTAGAACCAGTGTCGTAGCGAGGGTGTTTGGCGCCCGGGGACAAGATTCGCGCCCGGGGACAAGATCCATTTTAAAGCGCCCCTTTTTCTTTTTTTCAACTCTCAAACCCATTATTTTCATCAATAAAATAATATCAAAGCACATTTCGGCGCCCCTAACTAGCTGGCGCCCGGGGACATCTGTCCCCCCCTGCCCCCACCATGCTACGCCTCTGATTAGAACACAAGCCCGGTAGTGCATTTCTTACCGGTTAGTAAGTCGCTGGTAATTATAGCCGGCAAAGAGAGTACCACTATCTTTGGATGGGGGTAAATATAATATACATGCATGAATGCATGCTGCATCTTATTTACCTGACGAAAGTAAAAGGTTTGTCTTTCCTTAGCAGCTAAACCTTTTGAATCAATATGACCCCTTTATTCTCACGATTGGCACCACATTCACTGGGATTACCATAAAACGCTACTTCAGATTCTCTGTGAAAATGCTTTTAACGAAGATGATTTCACTTAATAAATCTAAAAACCGGGTTATTTTAGGTCTATTACCTTTTCTTAGAAAAAATATTTCTCTTAACTAATACTAATACGCCAGTGACGAGATTACGCTACTAACCTGCGTCGCCTACCTGAATGGCGTTTCAGGTTGCACAACATTTCATTGTAATAGGCCTATACATTGTCTTGACTGTTTCATGAGTCCTTATATTATTAATTTCACTTACACTTACAGTAACAGTTGTGAAGTATTTTTAGTATTGTTCTCTATTCTCTCTTTATTCTAGTTGGTAGCCTAATTTAGCGAGACAAAAACTTAACACTAACACGCCTCCGTGCTCTGACATGTATAAAATAATATTTAAAAGCAGATCTATCATCATCCATATAAAGTCAATAATTAATTTTGTTTATTATGGCAGGTTTTACCATGACATCTTAATAACAGAATTCAGCGATTTGATTAGTAACAAGGGAGATAAGCGCTGGATTAGTAGTACTTTTTTTTTTTAAAGTTCTTTTCTCGATTGTAAATAAATATATTACAAATTTGGTTAAGCCCCAAAATATCCCCAGTCCTCAATTTACGTCTTTAAAACGAAAAATTTCCAATTACTGAGTCACTCACGTTAAAACGCAAATATTCACTTCTAGTGCCGGTAAGTAGCACACGCAAAAAGTTTTGTGTCTGGTTAGAGTTACAATTTTGCAATACCATAATCAGAATGATCATGAATAAAAATACTGAAGTCGAAGTTCACTTCGTTCCATCTATTATAATATGCCACAGTCTATAGTCTATAATATCTAGCTACCTATATGTTTATGTGGACTGGTTCAGCCCTTGACATATGGACAGAGCCGGACTAAATTTTTGAAGGCCTGATGAAAGTAGTCTACTGTAGTTGTAGACCCAACTAAAACTAAATGACTAACGGCTCAGTTATCTCTCTGTAAAAGTAAAACTTAGTAATTAGTATGATTATGAGGAATTTTATAATAATAATTTTATATCTTTAAAAAAAGGTCAACTATCTAAAAGAATTTTAATAAAAGTAAACATAATAAAACTGTGAGGTACTGTGAAAATATAATTTAAAATTTAATTATGAATATTATGATTCATTACAATTACAAACATTTTGAAAGCCATCTAGCCTAGCCCTAGCAGATTTTAAGGGTAGGCTATATAGTATATGACAACAGTATATGAGTATCATTAGTAGGCCTATAAATGATATTTTGCATCTTTGACTTTGACTTGGAGGATTAGCAGCGAATTCTACAAATAGTTGTATTGATTCAGAAATTGTAGTGCTTTGGCTTTTGTTATCACAATTATAAAAACTAACAACAGTAATCAATTTGATATCATATTATATTAATATTATTATTTGACCTAAATCAGCAATGATGCCATAAACTCTGACATAAAAAGTTTCAATCTTAATTTTGTTTTTGCCTGTGAAAACTATAGCTGGTTCACGACTGCCATCTACTTTACATTTTTGGAGGCATTCTGATTTTTTGTCAAAGCCTTTATTTAGTTATCATGCAAAAATTATTTGCCTAATCATTGTATTGTTCAAAATTACTTCTTTACAAAGTTAGAAACTCTGACAGTGAATTTAAGGGAAGTACAGCTGTTCCAAGAGTTATGATTTCTAATCGAATATGTTTAAGATTCATTGATTTGCTCTAGTATGGTATTCAAAGAGTCATTATGATGTTTTCATTTTTTTACCATTTAAAAAAAATTAATTTTCAGCATCTATTCCAGTCAATTTTTTGTTGTTGCATTGTATTGTACCCCGGTGATTTAAAGCAGCAATGTATGTGTCGAAGTAATGTGATAAGCTTAAAGTTAAAACCTCCCCAATGGGACCTTGGCATGCACATCAGAACGTCTGACAGCCTTAAACTTTGAACAAATCCCTGAAAATCTTTGAAAAACTCATCATCTATATGTATTCCTGTGAATGCGGGATCATTGCTTTTTTTTCCAATGCCTCTGTTCAGGATAAATACATTTTATTATAAGCTTAAGGCCATAGGCTAATAAACTCTTTCCTTGATTAAAATAAAATTCAGTACACCTTAATACAAAATTTATAAACAATTAATATTTCATGTCAAAATGAATTAATCGGATAAGTAGGCCTATTATTTTCAAAACTTAGAGTAGGCCTGGTGCGAGTTTACCACTTGCAACATTGTTAATTGGGCACTGCATAGGGCAGGTTTTAAAATTTAAAAAAAAACACCTGACCACTCCTTAGGAAAATGGAAAGGGAACTTGACTTGAGTTTAAGTAGACACTTAAAAAATCTTAACTTTTGAACTAGCCTACAGCAACTTCAGAACTTGGACTTGAATTTTTTTTAGGATTAGATTTTTGAGTGCTGGAATTTACTGGAGATGGAAAGCAAATCTAGGTCCTTCTTGATTTTGCATTAAATAAACAAAAACAACCAATGTCAGAATGTGCTCCACTCCAGTGCTTCCCAAACTTTTTAAGTTGCTTTTTGACATTAAAATAAGCCCTCATTTTAAGCTAACACTTAAATTAATCAAATTTTGAACTATAATGTTCATATCTCATAAAAACTGTTAACTCCATGTATGGCAAGCTGGATTGAATGTTTAAAAAGAATCCTTGTTTGTATTTCATGGACATTTTTGTAGAGATGCAGGACTGGTGGTATTTCTTTGTAGAAATGCTCACTTTACGTCTGTTTCTGTTATCATACCATTAATGCCTAGTAACTTAAAGTTATAACTTTATTGAAGAACAATAAAATGTTATAAGAGATAAACTCTTGTATGTTATAACTTAGGCCAATGGTTACCAACATTTTTGACTCAGAGAATATTTTAAAATTAATTTTTGGTGGGGAGCCCTTATCCCTAACTAACCTTTGTCTTGCAAGTTAATATTGTTTAAGAGTTTCCTGGAGTAGCCGTTGAACCCCTTAGAAGTGCATGCGGAGCCCCTTAGGTTGGGAACCACTGAGGTTTGTTAAGTTAAAGATGGATTGGGATATTTTTAAGGCCTACTCAGACCATAGAACTGCAATGTCACTGTTACATTTTTGAGTTATTAGAAATGTTTTAAATGAAGAAATGTAAAAATAAATAATAGTCTGGCCTATGAGTAATATTTATTATAAATAGATTATAAACAAGAGCTTTGTTTTAAGTAGCAGACAGATCATGGGACTGGTAATTATAGGTTCACATGGTTTACATCTTTGACATCATCAAATCATGTTATAACAGTTAACACAATAGCAGCATATGAAATCTAAATTGTTACTAATATTTTAAAGAGTACTCTTTGTCTATTCTGGTCTAAGCTTTACCATTCAACAGAGATATCTTTTCTTTATAGAAAATGTTCATATAATTTATTTACTCAACAGTCAACAGGTCATGTTAGGGGATCTAACATGCTTTTTAACACAAGTCTGTTACCTTTCACTGGTAATTTTGAATTTCAACACTGGATTTGCAAATAGTCGCGTCCTATAGACCCCTGCAGGAAACTCCGTCAAATCAAAGGCTGAACACTTTGTCTCTTGTTCAACTCTCACAAGCTGGATTCTTCTACCTAGGGGAAAAACTTGTTCAGTGTATTTACTGTGAGAATAAAGTTCAAATAAAAAACTTTCTGAAGGATGGCTGCATGGTTGATCCCAAATGCAACATATTCCACCATAATGACTGCAGGTCTATCACTAATGACAATGAATCTGCAGGGTGTGTAAAGTCTCACACTTCAGATGGTTCTGCTAAAGAAATTCCATCTCATAGAAACGATACTGAAAATTCAGCACGGCCTATTAACTCCAAGATCACAACAGTAACTCAAGCAACACAGGTGTTAAACAACCTTTCTCAAGAGACAAGTGTCAATTTTAAATCCCGCAGTGGAAACCACCAAGAATTAAATGTCAGTAATGAAGAATTCGTGCCACAGGATGAGGAAAGGGGATTAAGTGAGGCAGTTGGAGGGCTGGAAATTTCAACCCAAGGCAGTGGCAGTTTTGTTCCTCATAGAGATGTAAGGCAGATTGATCAAACTGAATCACTCGGTAAGTTGGATAAAACATAAGCAAAAGGCTAAAGGCTACACTTTACAGGTAGTTATTTTTAGAATGAAAAGCACTGCCTAATATACTGATGTTCTAAATATTATATTTATGAAGATATACCTATATGCACTTGATATATAACATAATCTTTAACATAATTTGACCTTGGTTATTCTATTCTTCTATTCAGATGATTCAGAGTTATTTGAGCCTGAAATTGAGTTGATAAAAGATGATGTCACGTGTCCAGCTCTCCACTCACTAGAGTGTAAAAAAAACCCTGGCCACTTTGCATACTTCCCAATCAATATCCTCAACTTGGCACAAATACCTTCAAAAACTAGGCATACTAATGTACTCAAGTTTATTCAGCTCTTTGCCAACCTCACTGTAAGAATTATTGTAACAAACAAAACTCAACAAAAGATCGGAACAGGAAGTTTGTCTCTGACCCAGAGCTTAGAAGATGAGTTCAACACTGGAGAGGAAGCTGCCACTCACAGGTTTGGTAAAGCTGTGAGGTGTGTGGCATCTTTTGTGAAAAAGCCAAAGTTCATGATACACATCGTAACAAATAAGCACGTGGTCTCAAGCAATGAAGAAGCAGTGAACGCAACTGTGGAATTTTTCTATGACCATCCAAGCAGAAATCATATCAAAGTGATAAAGGGCGTCTGGGTCCATCTCAGCCAGATAATAGGTGACAACCAATCTACTCTTGTGTGTAAAACGTCAGATCAATCTTTCGCACTAAGGATTTACCAGATGAGAAAAGATGTTCTGGACATTGCCAACAAACTGTCCAGGAGAGCTAAAGAATGTATGACAAAGAAACTGTTCATCATCAGCCATCCTCATGGCAAAGAGAAGGTTCTGTCCTATGGGGACTCGGTGCTGGTCAAGTATGACATCAGGTCCATTGAGCTGAATGGACGGCTAGTAACGAAACTGATAAAACTCAACAATAGCCAAGTAGGTCAGTGAGTTCAGAGTAATTATATTAATATCACATTTTTTGAAAAGAAATATTTTAAAACTACATCAACTTACTTGAACTCTTAAATTTCATTTTTACACATTATATTTATAATTATGAACATTAAAATATTGTGTCTTATCATTTATCAAATAAATTTAAAAAAATATCTATTTAAAATTTTTATTTAAAATTTAACAAATGGTATTCTTACTGCTATTATGAGGATCAAACCGTTTCATTGTTTAGAAAGATGATGCTAGCTGAAACTATTGCAGACTGAATGTACTATATACTTAAACTTAAATGTACTATACAATTATAAGTACTTATAAGTACTCTACACTATTGCAGACTGAATGTACTATATACTTAAACTTAAATGTACTATACAATTATAAGTACTTATAAGTACTCTACACTTAAATGCACTTTATGCTTAAATGTACTCTATACTTAAATTTACTTTGAATATACTATAAACTTGATATTTATTTGATCAATGAACTCTTGTCTGTTGTTTTTATGCAGCTGATGCACACTTTCCTAGTTTAAGGAAGGCATTTCTCTATGCAGCGGACACATGTGTAGGGTGCTGTGGTGCACCTGTCATCTCTTTTAAGAGAGTGCAACACCAGGCAAGTGCTGATGCAGACCTTCAGCTGGAGGTGTGGGTACACAATGGAGTGGAAAAATCACATGGCCTTGGTGCTTCTGTCTTAAAAGGTGTAGTACAACAAATAATGCAGCTCACTTTCATGTCTGTTAGTTTTATTAATTTGCATTTAATATTTTCAATACAAGTAATGATTCTTTTTTCTTAAATACATCATGCAAAGTTAAACTTCTTTTAAACAGGTAAATGTTTTAAGACCTTATCGTTTTGCTGATGAAGATTTTAAAGGATTAAATCAGAAAAGCTTGTCTTCATGGTTTCTTCCTTCTCACATCTTAATTAGTGTTTAAAATATTTTCTGTTTTGTCCTTCGTTTTCGTTCACTTGGTTAATAGTAATAACAAATAAATGCTGTCAACATGTGCGATTTTGATAACTTATCATGTCATAGAAAATTCTTTAACTATTGTTGAAAAATTGTTTAGGATCATCTGCCTTGCAACACATTTTGTGATGAAGTAGTGAGTGAAATATGTTGTTTTAAAGGATTGAAAATAGCTAGTGCCTGGCAATGAAACATTGTTCTTGGCATATTTACACATGAGCATAGATATGACAAGGGAGTATTCTGAGCTCGACTGACCCTGCCACCAGGGCTGCTTAAGTCGGCTGTGACTTCCTGATAGACAAGCCTGCCGTTCCGGGCCTGACATGGCCTGGACCATGTCCAAATTCCTTAAAGAGTTAAAGAAATACAATGTCTATAATTGTCAATGTTTTGTACTTTAAGAGTTCACCACGGAAGATTTGGAATGTTCAAATCCAAGTCTTGTTGGAGATCAAGCTGTAGAGAGTGATGATGAAGAGGAAAATCCTGGCGGTCAAGCAGAAGTTACTTCTCCTGTTTTCAAGGTCAAAAGCCAGCCATCCTATCCCAGCTACATTATTTATAAGGAACGTTTGAACAGTTTTGCCAGTTGGGATTCCCATCACATCCATCGACCAGAGTCATTAGCACATGCTGGTTTTTTCTATGCAGGTATTTATCTTATTGTATTTCTCTATTGTATTTATGTTATTTTATTCATCTTATATTATTTATATTATTGTATTTGTCTTAGAGGCAGACCGAATTTGGCTTTTTAAAAAAAATTATTGTTTTGGCAAAGGTTTATTCAATTCATACTTTTATTAGATTAATTTGATTTATAACTATCACGGTCATAAACGTTTTCATAGGCAGAGGTAAATATTACTGTGGAAAAAAAAATTAAGGTAATGGTAACATTTCCATTATTATTTTTGTTTTAAATTAAAAAAAATAAAAATTGTGCACACCTAGGCTTACTCAGTTCATGCATTCATGGACAGTCATTGTTATCCTATAGATTAATTTTGTCATTGACAACAAAATAAAATGTTAAAATATCACATAAAATTAGTCACACGAATGGACACAAAGGAAGAGAATAATGAAATCTTGAGTAATATTTAAAAAATACAATTATTTCAATTTTGTATACTTTGGCATATCATAATCCTACACATACATTTGCATGTATCGCTGTTTTTGTATGATAATTATGCAGTAGGCCTACTGTATTATCATACTAAATGTAGCACAACATCAATTCAATTTTTGTTTAATCTGGGTCAAATCTAAAATTAGCCGACCAATGATAATTGCGGATAAATGATATCTTTAAACACTTTTCAACAAAAATGTATGGGTTAGGGAAACAGGGTGCCTTCAAAGCTTATGTCTGGACATTTTAGTTGGTGATACCATTAAACAATAGATAGGCTGAGTTTTGGATTGATATCAAATATGTGTGGATAGCGTTGTAATTATATTATAAAAGCAGAGGGCACCCAAGGTGCTATTTTACATGAATTTCGCCCTCCCATGTCAAATTTTTCTCTTACCATACTCCTTTAAAATACATTTTTAACAACTTTAAATAACTTTTTAATGCTAATGAATAAAGCCAAAGTATTCATTAGATGTTTATCAAGAAGAATTCAAGATAATCTCATTTTTTTTATATTTCCCCCAACATCATTTTTCGACTTACAGACGAATGTGTGAATGAGTTTTAAAATACCAAAATATTTTGGTTTCAGTTTCACCAGAAAGTCTCGTTAACCTTTTGTTTTCGGTTTCCGCCAGGTCGTTTTTTTTAACTTTCGGTTTGGTTTCATTTACATTTAATCATATCTTAAAATGGAAGATTACCCGTATTGAATATGAATTGTTCTTTTTATGAAAGGTTTGGTGTTATGAGATTGTTGTTGTCAAAATACTATGGTCCACTATTCCTTTTCTCATGAGACTTATAGTTCACAGTGCCTTATATCAGTGGGGAATTGTATTTATTACTATTTACTTTTTATTCTTTTAACATTTTTATTGGTTTATCATGTAGCATGCTTGTCACAAAAAAGTTTCACATTTTCCATTTCTGTTTTATCTAATATTTCCTTTAAAAAAAATCAATGAGGTTTGTTTATATTTATCTAAGTAAAGTTAACATTAGCCTAGAAAATAATGAAACCATTCAAATTTAAAAAACATTCAACAATCTGTACATCAGGTTATGCTGATTGTGTTCGGTGTTTCCAATGCGGCCTTGGCCTGAGATCATGGAAAGAAGGGGATGATGTTAATGTGCAGCATGAGAAACACAGGCCATCTTGTGCTTTCCTGCAGGCTCACCTCAGACCATCTCTTGACAGCGGCCAAAACAACATGAGAGTTTCAGCAGAAAATTACTCTGGTAAACTATATTTTATAATTAATTAATTCAACAGAACAACAAGGGTGAACTGTCAAACTTGGCTTGATGAAATTTTAAAGATAATCTAGGTCCACTTGCATAGTTTTTCATAGTATCTCTTACATTTTTAAAAATTAAGTGTTTAAAACTTCAATTTCACTTGATGCTGTCAGCAAACATATGTCTTTTATTTGCATTGTTTCTGGAAAGGTTCCAAAAGATTTCAGTCAGTTTCCTAGAATATTTAACGATTCTATCTTTAACAGTTTAACTGTCAACAATTTTCAAAACTGGATGGTCATTAAATGTGTGAAATATTAATAAACATTTTATAGTCCTCATGTGTTGTATCTAAATTCGATTATCATTAACATTAAAAAAAACAACCTTAATTTAATTGTAGAGATAAAAAACTTTAATTTTCCTATGCTGTCACATTTTTAAAATATGCAAGGCATTTCAAATGATCAGGCTCAAGTGGCACTAAATTTGAAAGTGAAATTCTTTACATTTTATTTCCAGGTCAAAGAAATTTGGTTTTGACTGTGTTAGAACAAGAAAATGAAAAACTGCAACAAAAACTACTGTGCAAAGTTTGTGACCAGGAGCCAGTGAGGGATCTGTTTCTGCCCTGTGGAGAGCTTTATGCCTGTACCGAGTGTTCAAAGCTGCTAACGCATTGTCCTGCCTGCAACAAACAGATACTTGCCACAGTCGCAACGTATTTTGGGTAATACATTTTTTTCTTCTCTTGTTGTGAGTGCAGAAAAGCAAAATTGAAAATGTTTTCAGCCGTCACATAAGAAATCGGATTTAATTGCAAGCTAATTTAGCAAAATTTGAAATACATTTTTTTTTGGTGACAATTTGCCTGAATGGCTCCAGCACTAAAACCAGATCTGTAATAAATGTATTTCTCTTCATATTCAAATACATGTATTTCTTAAATTATAGTTCAATTGACTGTGATAAAGCTACTTGATTCACTCTGTTTATTATTTTAATACCAATCATTGTGATGGTATTCACCATTAGAATCTTGTCACAAGACACAAGCCTGGGTTAACCTAATAGAATGGTAAATTTGGTACCTTGATAAGTTATAACAAAAATTTAACTCCAGTGAAGTGTTGCCTGCAAGAATTGTTTTTTTAATGTAAAAAATGTTGTAATTTATTCAAACTTTATATGCTTATAAACACATCCTTCTGTAACGGACACATTTATTATTTTTCCACGAAGAACAGTTTTTATTTATCAATGCAAAATACAAGCTGAAATGAATAATTTTGTTAATAAGTTTGCTTTGAAAATAGAAATCACTTTTCCGCACCTTTTTTAAAAACCACTTGAGTTATTGACATTGTTTGTTGTTTTTGAAAAATTAACATTACATTTTAACAAATTGTGAACTTTTCTTGTATCTTCTTAGAATTATATGAAAAAGCCACATATTTATGCAGATAACAGAACACTTGATTGCTGTTTTATTTCTATTTCATTATATTTCTTGTGTTTCCTGTAAATTTGGAAAAAAATCATAAACTGTTTATAAAAAATTCTTTAGTGATATACTGGTTTGAAAATTCTGTATTCATTAATTTGTCATAATTTTTTGTTAACTATTTGGGGATATTGACTTAAGGAAAAAAAAATATTTTCCTTTGCAACACTTATGTTATTTTAGAATAATCTAGTCTGAAAATCAGATGAGCATTTGAAGCCTTTGCTTTTGTGTGAATTTTTTAATGTAGATTTGTTGAATCAAGTCTCTGAAATACATGCAAATTCACGATATGATGTACTCTTATAACTTTTAGCATTACAGGCCGTTAACTACATTATGCTTTCAGTAAATTTTTGATGATTTTACTTGTCTGTGACGCTGAATTTTCGTAAAGGCTTTGGGGCTGAGGTCTGTTCTAAGTTAGACCAACGCATCACTTTCTAGTCCTTCCGTTCACAATTATGATGACTGATGTTAGCACTTCTGCATTTAACAGTTTTTAAAAATATTTTACTTGTGATATCCTAAAAAAAAAAGCAAAAGGCTCTTTTGGCATTTGCTTTTGATCACTGCGTCTCTGTGATTTAAAAAAAAAGTTGTTTTTGTATAACTAAAACGTTTTGTTAATTATTTTCTGAAAAGCAATACTGTACCTCTTGGCTGTATTAATTAATGAATATTTTTGGCATTTAGATTTGAATCTCTCATTTTATTATGTACCTGTATCACTCACATGGATGTTGTAAAGATAATTTTGAAGCTGAATTTGTCCACCACTTGTGTTTGAAGCCCTCAATTTGTGCTCTGTTTTTGTTGCCCTACCTCCACATGAATTAAAATACTTTGGAATTGGATCATGACATTGTTACAAATTTTTATATTCATTTCGTTAAGATGTCTGCACCACATGTACTGGTAAATGTTTCCCCGTGTGTTCTCACTAAAAATTACCATGGCATTTATATAATACACATAATATACGATATATAAAATTATATGTCATGTAAACTCTTGGGAGGGGCAATCAACTCTCTTGCACCCTCTCATGCCCCCAAACCCAAATCTAGTTTTTGTGTGTTTTTTTTTTTTGAGGGTGGGGTGGCACAAATAAGGGATGCCCCCAAGGGCACAAGTCTTAGCTACGACGCTACACCAAAGAGAAGCGCCGACCTAGATGATGAAACACCTGGATGATGAAACAGCAAGTAATGAATAAGTGCAAGCTGAAGGTGAGAGGTTTCACACCCACCATCTTCCTGGTCCTCAGGTCAGGCTCGTGCAGGAAGTTTAAACGTTTATGAGATTCATATCGTCGCATTGCGCCCCCCCCCACACACACACATCCCGGCCGATCATGGTGTCTGTTAAAAAAAAAATCCAACAAAGAATTTGAATTAACAAAGGGACACAATTTATCACGAAAACAGGTGACCCAGAACAAGTTTTTTTGGAGTTGGCTCAAAGACAAATTAATTCAATCTCAAACTTATGTGACAATAATCCTGGCCAAACGCGCTTGTAATTTACCACCCCCCCCCACACTACACCTTAAAAAAATCTACCATGTCATGGGGGTATGCGTAAACCAAATGTCTACCATGATGATGATGATGATGAGGACAGATGGAGCGTTTGGTCCATGCTATCTTAACATGCTCACAGCGCTCTGGTGTCATACAATCTGTTTAAAGGAAAAGAAATGTCTTTGAGTTTTTCTTAAATGACTTTTTTAAAATCAATTTTATGACTAGGTAAAACTTTTTTTTTGTGTGTGTCCATCCACTGTTGAACTCTCAGTAGGGACTGCGATGAAGAGCCGGTTTCGACATATACCATTTTAATTTCAGGTCCTTCTTGTTACTGTTAAGTTACATTTTGCTCGGGCATCTTACATATTTTTTGCATTAAAATTTATTCTTAAAGAATTAAAGAGGGTCAAATTTTGAGAACCGTTTTTATGTAGCATAGTTATTTTTAGCAACACGTAAAAAGTACCACGTGGCAGAACCTGACTCAGTGGAGGATTAAGTCCAGCTCAGAACAGCTCTGACTGACGTGTATTTACGGCGGTCACGTGACAGATAAGCCCAGGAATATCGAGGGGTGCACCACTTAATGACAAATAAACATGACTGAGTGCATGAGCACAGTGGCGTAGGAGCGGGGGTGTCGAACGTGCGGTCCGCCCCGGGCGCAACGTTCTTCTTTATATGGAGGGGCGGCAGTTTCGTCGAAGTGCCGATTTTTAAAAAGTTGTTTTCGTGGAATGGGGGGCAGCAAAAAACTTGACCTGCTCCTGGTGGGGGGAGGGGGGGCAACAACCCTAGCTACGCCACTGCATACGCGTGAGAGAGCGCTATATGTTTAAAAATTAAAATTACTTCCTTCCCCAAAGAAATTTGAATCCATGCCGAGATTACTACCCTAGCCAAATGTAATATATTTAGCCAAATGTAATATATTTACTTTTTTTTTTTTTTTAAATGAAACTGTTTATGAATTGGTGCCATTTTGTGTCTGGATCATTTGGGCCTCTTTGAAATATGTCGTATGATCTTAATTTCAAAAAGGCCCTGTGCCCGAGAAATATTCAATGGGACTGTTTTCAGTGGCTCTCAACCTGGGCGGTACCATCCCAAGGGGCCTGTGAAATTGCATGGGAGGTGTGGAGAAATGCTCAGAAGTTTAGGAGGGCACTAAGGCAAGATACGATTCTTTATTGATCCAAAGGAAAAGAAATGGTTACATAGTGACGCTAGTGAGACTCCGGACCCTTACCGGAAAAGCGGGGAACCTTCTCAATACACGGGAGAGGAACATCCTCAGAAAATATACGGCCCAATGATGGAAAAAGATGTCTGGAAGATCCGTACACACCGAGAGCTATACCAACTGTACACAGAACCACCCATACCCGCAACAAAAAAATTAAAAGGCAGACTGCGCTGGGAAGGACATATTGAAAGGATGCCGGAATGTAGAGCAGCAAAAGTGATATACAGGGAGAAACCTAGGGGCAGACGACTCGCCTGTCGCCCAAGGCTGAGACGGATCGACGATGTAGAGAAGGATTTACTCCAGTTGGGGGTTCGCACATGGAGGCGGAAAGCCATGGATGGTTTCGAATTGAAGGATGTGGTGGAGCAGGCCAGGGCCCTACATGGGCTGTAGCGCCACTGATGATGATACCATGGTCCATTCCAACTCTGCCCCGGCAGCCCAACATATTCCGGTTGTGGTGCCGCCTGAGGTATGCTTTTTGCCCACCTAACGTTTGCCCCTGGAATCTATTTGGTCAAGTAGATATTCCCAATTAAAGGAAAATAATATCTTTGTCAGTACAAGAAAACCATTTTAATTACTTACATCCCGACAGACTTTTTTTTTTTTGTTGTTGCTGTTTTGGGGACCGAAATAGAGAGTACCCGAGATGGCTCCCGAGTGAAAGAGAGGGTTAAGTGTGAGAATGCAAGTGCCCTCCCCCCCCCCCCCAATTTTTGGATAAAAATACTTGAATTCAGTTTTGCATCATTCTTGACTTAATCGGAGAGTGACAGGGAAGATAGTAGTGAAAGGTTAGGTGTCACTTGACCCCAAAGCCGTGCCCTGGGAATATTTAAGGGGCTCACTCGAAGGTTATCCATTTTTTTCGGATAANAACCCCCCCCCCCCCCGTCTACACAACCCTGGGACGAAATAATTTTTTAATAAAATCTAATCTCATCACAAGGATGGTGGAGCATGGCAACCCGCAGGATATTTTCAAGTGGAGGTGGTGGGACGGTCTATAACTATAACGCCTTACTTATTTAGACCTAATATCAGTGTAGTAATGTAAACAGGAACTCTACAACTGTAGTATTTGTTTAGATGTGTTTTTTCTCAATATTTATCAGTAAATAAATATTTGGAACAATGGGTTAGGCCCAACCGCTGCCTATTTTTATGACCGGAATTTCCAAGTATGAAGTAGATGTGGGGGTTTCCCAGAAAGATCTGTTTGTTTTGCGCAAAGTCTACTTGAATTGTTTATAGGACTAGGATCAACCAAAAGCAATATTATAACTTGTGTCTTTAGATTGTAGAGGTTCATATATTTATAACAGTTTTGGTAACTATGGGATGGTTTTTTGCGAGTTTTAACCCCGGAACAGTTTTAGTTCTTCAATAGGAATCGTTATATTTTATTTCACAACACTATAGATCTGTTATATAATTTTTTATTCATTTGTTTTGTGATTTATTTGCAATGTAGTCCTATATTTTTATGGTAGAGGCTTATGAAAAAAATTAATAAATAGTTGCCCAGTGAACTATTCTCATATTGTTATCCATTATAAACTATTGAACGATTAATAATGGTTTATGACAGGCCTGCACAACATACGGCCCGCGTGCCGCCTGCAGCCCGCCAGCACCCACTTTGCGGCCCGCGAAGTAACGAAATATTCTTTATTTTTAATATTTTCTTAAAAGCCCCTATTTTATGCAGGCCTGGTTTATGATAAAAATATAACAAATTCTCCTAGTCTTAGAAAGATGAACACATTTTGCATAAATAAAAGCTATTTATAATTATATGAGTCATTAAAGAGTTACGGGGCTGAAATTTGTGAGAATAAGTAAAATACCCATAATAATAATAATAAAATCTCGCTTATGTAGACTTTCACTTAATATGCGTCAGATATTCAGAAGAACTAATTTTAATATAATATAGACTAACGACGGAGCATAAGCTGTCTAAAGACACTCACATATGCACACAGATGCACAACACTCACAGACACAGTTAGATAGAGGGTGATTTTTAATGTTGCAGTTCATGTAAGTTATAATTTGTGTGCGTACATCGATGAATTAAACAGTTCAGCTTAAAGGAATGGCGTCCCACGAAGGCATCTCAACTTTCGGGCAGGCTATCAACTTATTCCCCTAAGATGGGTATGCTACTTAAGGTGACATCTTTCGGTTTGATCTTGACCTTAATAAAGATTCTACACATGCATGTCAACCACGCGGATAACAAAGGTATGGATACCAAAACTTCAATATCCAGCCACCATCAACCAGACAGAGAGACATGCAACGTCGAAAGTTCATGTCTTTGGAGTAGTAGCAAAGGCAAACTAAGTAAATGTCCCAAGGCCAAGAGAACCAAAGAATTCGCACATGCTATTGACTACAGAGGAGTTAAGGGATATACTGGTCGAAATGTGCGGTCGATTTCTAAAATGACCCAGAACGCGATGATGTCCAGCGCTGGTTGTTTGACCTCAAGGAAAACTCCGGGGAGAAATTCAGAGCCCAGAACCATAACTTTCATCAACGTCATGCAGCTTGTAAACGTTATATTGTCTTTTTCCAAAGTGATTTCGCTTCACTGTAGACTGTGTGATCAGCATACACTAAAGCCTTATTTCAATACTAAAGTCAATTTAAACCACTCGTCAGACCGCCTGATTCACTCAGGACTTAAGAAGGACATTTCACAAGAAATCAGGACTTTCGATTATGATCACGGAGATGAAAAGACGAAAATTGATGCATTTCTTAATGAACAAAATTTTAAAGATGTACATTACAAGTGGCTCTTTGAACCACGTAAACTTGTTCCAGCCGTGTTTGAGAGAAACATCACAGTTTTTCCAGCGTTTCAGCTTGTCATCTCTCGACTTGCTTCGTTTCGCAATATTGCCAAAGATTTCATTTCCACACCCTTATCGTCAAACAGACTGAGTGAAAGTGGTTTTCGTTACAGTGGATCGGGGTCAATGGTGACTTGCGAGGAATGCGGCCGAGAGGTTGAGTTAAGCAGTTTCATTAGAGGCTGTGACATGGTTGATCCCAAAGACGCCAGGTTTCATAATGTTGGCTGCAGCTATGCAACAAACGAACATAATCACGACGTCGATGACGCCCATACGGGCACTGAGACCGACTCGGCGCCCCACAACCTAATTGCCAGACCTGTTGAAAAAAGCCTCACCATTTCTGTGACGTTTCCTTCAGTTTCGTCCAAACACGAAGCTAAGGATTTCCATTCACCCCTGGCCAACAAGCAGGCGTTAAATTTTGCTTCAGGAGGAACTCCTTGGGACAATTCCACATTTGACAGGTCATTCGACGGACCACCGTATCCACAGACCAACACGAATCCTGCTACTGTACATCCGCCTGTACCAGAAGGCACCGGACAACCCCACTCTGCACCGGAGGATGCAGATGAAGGTAGTTTTATTTTGAAATACAATAATGTTAGTGTACAATATTTAGACAGTGTTTTATCATTCTGATACGAATATAAAATCAAAGGAATACAATCACGTTACAAACCTCTAGGTCATATGTTCGACACATTATCAGAATTGATTTTACGCGGTTTGGGACGATACTCAAACAATTTAGAAGTGTTGTTTTGTTTAATTTAAAAAGTCATCAAAGTGGCCTAGTTCTTCTTTATTGTTTGAAACCGTCCACAAATTTACGGATAGTACGTACAAAAAAAAAAAAAGACGAAAACTAACTTGTCCGTAATATTAAAGTTTGTCCGTTAAAAATAATAATTAGAAAGGATAAAAATTTCATTAAAGCCACAAAAAAAAAAAAAATATAAAAAAAAATTAAAAAGTCATAAAAGTGGCCTAGTTCTTCTTTATTGTTTGAAACCGTCAAAAAATTTACGGATAATACGTAAAAAAAAAAAAAAGACGAAAACTGACTTGTCCGTAATATTAAAGGTTGTCCGTTAAAAATAATAATTAGAAAGGGTACCAATTTCTTTAAAGCCGCAAAAAAAAAAAATATATATAAAAAAAGAAACCGAGAGAGACTCAGGGTTTGTGATTTCTTCTTGCTTTCTTTAAAATTCAATGATCATAAAGAAGAGAAATACAACACTTTAGAGAATGCCAAATAACAAGCTAACATTGCAAAAAAAATGTTCATACGGTATGTGGTACGTTCACAAAGGAAATTATAAATATTTTCGGAGAGAAAATAGCATAATTAGGTCGGTGAATATCATTTCCGCTTTCATATCATTCGTGGCTGTCATGGTTTGGCTAAGTGAACATGGATCGGATGAGGTCACCATGAAATGAGCGGAAAGAAATTATTCAAAGTAAAAGTATGCATTTTATTTTTAAAACTCTATTATTGAACATGTTTTATATAACCCTACTTAGCTTACTGGAACCGAGTTTGGAATTTGGAACTAAGCCAAATTGGTAAAAGTAGGCGGCAACCACGAGCAAGCTACTCTGTATTACAAAAAATTGGACATACCCTATAGAGTCATACAGTAATAGTGATCATATCTTATTTGTTTTTAGCTCATAGTTTTTACAAATTTATATACACAAATTTCCCTTTACATTATTTTTGTTCTTAAAAATTATTGAGTTTTAAAATATGTTTAGAAACTTTTATTTTATTGAGCTTTGTAAGCTTGTTTTTTTTTATTCCAAAGGAATAGGCGGTAACTTTCGTTTTTCGTTTTCAATTATAAATATATTAATATATGCCATTTAAGATCATATACAAATAAATTTTCCACGTAAGAACTAATGTTGCTAACACTTTCGCTATATAAAATTCCCCAACAAATGCACTAAATGAGATGGTTCAAAACACCGAAGGTGACTGCATGCGTCATATTTTCTTCTGTTTTACGTGTATAGTCTCATTTTAATATGGTTTTATAAATCTGCGGTATAAAAGTGGGCAGAACATAAGAATGTTAATACAGTTCAGAGGCGTGAACAAAAAGTCTGCAGTTGGAGGCCTTGGGAAGGGGGTGGGGGGTGTGCACTATTCTGGAACCTTAGAAAATGCGTTACTTGAATGCATCCTTAGTCAAGTAAATTTAGTAGATGGGGTAGGTTACACATTGAGGCCGCCATTGTTTGGCAAACTATAGCTGGTCATTAATTACAATGATAAGTGTTGTAAAAAGATGAATGAAGCTCAGATATTTTTTATCAAGTAACAGCAGATGGCAAACATCTGTTATTCCTTTAAATATTGTTTTGGAAAAAAATCATACACCCAAAACTATTCGGATACCGGGTAATGTATAGCTCAAAGAAATGAAATGCTTTAACAGTTTTATTTTATGTTATCACTATATACTGGCTATGGCAAAATATCTTGCTTTTACTTTATCTATAATGTAAACTGTGCATTATGATTATGAATATATATATATATATATATATATATATATATATATATATATTATATATTATACCCATCTTTTCTCGAAATTTAAATTACACAAAAAAAAAAAAAATTATATATATATATATATATATATATATAGTAGCCATTATACCCGGCTTTGCCCGGAATTGAAATGGCAAAAAAAAAAAAAACAACAGTCATTAAGCTAAAATCAAAATTAATGGCCATGTAAAAACTCTTCGGTAAAGTAAATTTTTCATTCTCAGTTTTATAAAATATTTTTGTCTAAATTTCGTTCCCCGATGGAATCCCGTATTTTTTTAATATAAATACTTCAATTTTTTAAACATGTAAGACAAAACGTATCCTATATTTGAACTATATTTTTTTAAAGCTTCCAACCAAATAGTCAGTGGAGTCACCAATGGTGAGACGTCATCGTCGATTTCCGGTGAAGCGTCACCTGCAGCCACTGACGCCATATTTTGTAAGTTCGTAATGCTACGGTTTAACTTTATTTCTATCAAATTAAAATCATTTATCTGTAAACAAACAGTGATAACAGTTTAACACCATAATCTCTTGTGATGGGGAAATGGAATATGAGGTAATTTTACTTTCTATGATAGCTATCTATATCTGTTATGAAGATTATAGCAACGCAATGTATAGTTAAATATTCACCAACTGTAAAGCAAGGGAGTTTTGTATTTGTACACGATTCCATGGAAAGGTCACGGTTGGCAAGCCGTCCCACTTCACGAATTAAAGTGCATTGCATGCCAGCTACTAAAACATTTAAATAGCACACATTTTGTTGAACATTTTTCTAATGTTAGCAGTCCCATTTATAATATTGCATTCCCGTTTTTTCAGAGGAAAGTGGTATTCAAATTCTATTTGTTGTCTCGAAACTCTTTAGTTGAAACCGAACTGGTAACACCGGAGCAGGCAACGACAAATGACGTCAGACATGAAGGCCTTCACAGAACGTCTTGTGAAAAGAATCCAGGCCACCATGGGTCATATCCAATGAATCAGCTGACGGCAGAACAGATTCCATCTAAGACACGTCACCAAGATGTCCTCACATTTTTACAGCTGCTCTCCGTGCTTACAGTTAGAATCGTGGTAAATGTAACCAGCAGCTTACATCGCAAGGTCGATCCAAGCTGCGCAAATGGCAACGAACCGAGATTCGGGACTGGGTTCGTCTCTCTGGCGAAAGAGGTCACGGGTGATAGCCCGGTCGGAGGGTCAGGTCAGAGAAAATGGGGGGCTGTCAGACAGTTTGTCAAATCCCTTGTCAAAGCAAAATCAGCAGAAATCCGCCTTGAGACAAACAGGCACCTGGTCTTCGACGACACCGAGGCCGCCAACGCGAGCGCCGAGTTCTTCTTTGACCGGGCGAGTGCAAGAGGGGTTAAGGTGGTCAAAGGGGTGACCGTGCTTCACAGCAACGTCATCGGGGACAACAGATCAATACTGGTGTGTAGGACGACAGATCAAAGTTTTGTCGATCAGATCAATCAGACGATTCAACAGTTGCTGGTGCTGGTGCAGACGTTGCCCGCCAGAGCCAAAGACACGATGTGCAGGAAAGTTTTCATCATCAGTCATCCTCATGGCAAGGAGAAAGTTTTATCATACGGCGACTCCGTGCAGGTGAAATATGCCGTCAATCCGGCCACAGAGAAGGGACGTCAGGTGATCAAGATTGACAGGAACGAACCAAGTTAGTTTAGTTTAATTTTTTTTTTTTTTTAAATCAGTGACGCTCTGTAACACGTGGACGGCCAACGACGCAATCGTTTTCATATTAACCACGGTGAACCTATTTGACTATGGTTGACATATTAACTATGGTGGACATATTAACTATTGTGGACATATTAACTATTGTGGACATATTAACTGTTGTGGACATAATATTAACCATGGTGGACATCGAGTAATAAGTTTGACGCTTTTGATTCGGTGATGTGGAAATCACGCAACGTTGACTCTCACATGTGTGGCAGCGGAATTAGAATCTGTAGAATGGGAAAGCTGGAGATCATCTTTCGCGCATGTCATCTTTCTAAGCTTATTCCGAGAAACGTGAGCGTTGGCTGTCCATCTGTCATTGTGTCACTGGCTTGATCACGTTTAAAGAAAAGATAGAATTGAATAAGGCTTTAAAAAAAAGCTTATTATTATTGTTATTAGTTTAGTTTGAACGCGTGTGCAGCAGAAATCGAACCCCCAACCAGTACCTCGTTTTCTAGTCACTAATAATGTCATTCCATGCACGCAACCAACGGGTAACATTTATTCAAAATAAGAAAATAATTGAAAAAAAATCTAAACTTCGCCACAAAAATAATCCGTTACAAATCAACACTAGATGGAGCCAAAGAACGTTTGGCTCAGACGTGTTGAAAACAATTCATAAAAAAGTAAACATTGCTAATGACAAGTGTAATGATTTTTAGGGCACATAGGAGATGGTACATTGAACACAACTGTTCACAGAAGATGGTGCACAGACTACAAGGTAAAAAAACAAACAAAAAAACGTGGCATACAGAAGCTAGAGAAGTGGACACATTAAAAGCAGAATACAGCAACTGAATGGTCTGAAAAACTTGCTGTCATTGGCGTTTCAGAGCTTACTTGTTTTTTTCAAATCTTTTCGCCTAAATTTGATCAGATTTGGTCAATATGGAGGAAAGGTCCAACCTTGATCAAGTGAATAAATCATCTTGGGCTAGTTAAGCCTTTTTAGGGGGTCGTATTCGGTTAACTAAACCACTTTGCAATTCGAACACTTAAGATATCATCGCATTTCCAAACTTGCTGAATTCTAATCCAGGTCCTACCTACAGCACAACTATGGTAATAATAAATACTAGGGCTTAACCGGGGGCAGTTTTTTTACATTGGGTACGGGCATGTTAAGAAAATACCCGGTGGGTCCAAGTGTTACAAAATAAAGTTAACTTATTGTTTTCTATAATATATGCCTGCCTTTAAACAATAGTCTTACAGGCAGTCTAACACTCTCTCTGGCAGCCTCTAAACAATAGCCCTACAGACAGTCCTACACCATACAGGCTGGCATTTAAATAATTGGAGTACAGAAAGTCCTACACCAAAACCATGGCTCTTTATTGATTAATATACTAGTCGCTTCCAAAAAGAATTCAACCTTTTACTCAACTGTCACGTATGACGCTCGCTGCTTGGCAGCTTTTTGATTCCTCACTTAGTCCTATAAATATAAAACATGTTAAGTATAAAGGGGTGGGCTGGTTGTGAAAAGGAAGCAGCCACACCAAAAGCAAAAATATATATAAAAGATATGGCAAGTATATAATAATTTCCTTTTTTTTTTTTTTTTTTTCTACTTGGGGAGAGATCGTATGGCAAATCAGAAATTTAAAATTTCTGTGCCTCCCAATTTTTAAACACATTAGAATGTTAAAAATATATATAAAAGATATTGCAAGTATATAATAATTTTCTTTTTTTTTTTTTTTTTGCTACTTGGGGAGAGATCGTATGGCAAATCAGAAATTTAAAATTTCTGTGCCTCCCAATTTTTAAACACATTAGAATGTCTAAACTTTAACTTTTTGAAATCCTGAATTTTAAATTTAAAGGATTACAGCGCATATAATTTTTTAAAAAAAGTCAATATAAATCTCTATGCATGAAAGAAAGTATGGTGCAATAGTGAGTTCAAAGCGGGCAAAATAAAGTTCTCGATAACTGCGCTAAATGAGATTCTTCAAACGACCGCAAGTGCGTTTGGTGAGTAATATCTTCTGTTGCTTTACGTAAAATAGTCTCAATTTCAATATTTGGTTTAAGAATACTGCAGTGTAACCAAAAAAAAAGAAGGGGGAGGACGAGGACATAAGATTATTAAAATAGTTCAAGGGCATAAAAAGTGTGCAGTAGCGTACCTGGGGAGGGGGCACTGATTGGTATTTTCAATAAAATTATATTGTTGAATGCATGTCATGTTACTTATGTGGATGGGAAGTTCCCGCATCATCACCGCCATTGTTTGACGGGCAATAACTAGTAAATAAATAAACTATTGGCATATGAATCATGAACTGAAAGTCATATTCATGAACACATATACATTGCTTAGATTGTTTAAATGGAATGACAAATGGAATAAATTGTCAGATGGTAAAAAAAAAAAAGAAAAAAAAGTGTGTAGAGGGAATCGTGCCGTATATTAGTGTTTCGAAAATTTAAACTACTAGTCCATCTCCTCACAATGGCGTCATGTTGTGACCTATTAATAGGAATGCATCTCCTTAAAACATATTTTTTAAAAATTAAACACGCGCTGTTTTTATAGAAATTAGGCGCCAGAAGCTTCTATGTTGATCAACCATTTATTATGATCTTTAAGATCATTAGAAGTGTGACCGTGCCAGGAGGATATTTACGAATAATTATTATTACTGAGCACGCTCAAGTAGACATCTACAAAGTTTTTTTTTTTTTTTTTTTTTTTAAAAAAAAGGAAGATAAAAAAAGGAAACTCAAGTCAATTTCTACAACACAATTTCTAAAAATTTAAAAGATTTTAAGATCATTAGAAGTGTGACCGTGCCAGGAGGATATTTACGAATAATTATTATTACTGAGCACGCTCAAGTAGACATCTACAAAGTTTTTTTTTTTTTTTTTTTTTTTTAAAAAAAAGGAAGATAAAAAAAGGAAACTCAAGTCAATTTCTACAACACAATTTCTAAAAATTTCAAAGATTTGATTGAGCACTCTACACAGTAAGTCCACAACATACAATCATTTTACTATGAAAATTAAGGAGTGATGCAATCAGGCCTACACATCTGATATACAACCATATTATTAAGTCTACACATCTGATGTACACGTACAGCCTACATAAATATGTCTTATAGATCTGATCAATAACATAAATTATTAAGTCTTCACATCTGATATTCAACCTACATCATTAAGTCCACACATGAGATATATCACCCTAGATAATTAAGTTCACACATAGGATATTGAACCTACATAGTTTAAACACCCATTAATCGCCAGGAAACACCGGGATAGAACTCTGGAGTCACGCGGAAAAACAACACAATATACCGCTCTGCTTTACGACATCAAACGGGGAAAACCTGGCAAATCATTTCACCCAATTTAACACAAAGCATTCATAATTACAAATTTCAGAATAAAATTTCAGTTAGCTTGAGATAGATTGACCCAAGTCAATCGAAGTAATCGTTTTCAACAAATTCAACCAACATGACCCTTACTAAACAAAGTCCATCAACATGACTTACATAAACCTAACAGATCAAGATGGTAAAAATACATAGAAGTTCTAGTGCCTACAAAGTTTATTTCTTATTATTTTAAAGACTTTTCCCATCTCTGTAAGCCGATGAAAATGTTGATGTACTCGGCTGACACCTGTCCAGGATCGTGTGGCGGTCCAGTAATAGGCTTCAAGAGAGGCCCACACGACGCCAATGGCAGGACCACGTATCTCCTTGATATCTGGATTCACAACGGTGTTGACAAGACGTATTCGTTGGGCTGTTCCTTGATGAAAGGTAACTTAAATAATGTTTCATCTAAACAACTTAATGTCGATATTTATTTAATGTTCTAATGTTCTTATTCGTGCTATTCATCATCATCAGTGGCGCTACAGCCCATTAAGGGCCCTGGCCTGCTCCATCACATTCTTCCACCCGGAACGATCCACGGCTTTCCGCCTCCATGCGCGGACCCCCCAGCTAATGTAAGTCCTTCTCTAAATCGCCAATCCATCTTAGTGTGGTCGACCGGTGAGCTGCCTGCCACTACGTTTTTGTCTAGCGCAGCCTGCATTTTTAAAAAAAAAAAATATTATTGCTTCACCATCCATCACTGTCTAACGTAGCACTAGACCGCGTATTTTCGTGACGACTATCTTCTACCAAGCGTGTTCTTAGTATTTTATTAAATAGCGTCTTCTGTACCAAGTAAGCTATAGCCATAAATAATTAAGAACTTGAAGCTTTATGTACCTTCTTGGCGTAACGTGTAAAAAAAATAAGCACGTATTAATTTCTTAAATACGTGAAGGAATTGTTTAAACAGTTTAATCAAAACTCGAATTTTGTAAGACTTTTTGCGTCGACAGTAAGATGTATTATCTTACATCGAATGGCTGAGGTAAATTTTAACTTACATTTGGGGGTGTTGAGTGGTGGGTAGATGAGAGGTGGGTGTGATCGTGGGTGAATATGAACTCATTGAGACCTATGTTACGTAACCATTGCACCAAAGCGCTGACAAGATGATCACTTTTCCATTATACATGAAGAATGGGCAAAAGAAATATAGTTTCTTTTCGAAAGCCTCGGATTTTTAATGCTTAAAATTATAAAGAAGATTATGTAAAAAAATAAAATAAAATCATCATTGCATTTGCTTGAAAGAGGCATTTTGCAAAGTTATTGATCAATCTGGTGAAGCTCTTGTGGGAAATTTTTACTTTTAATTTTTGGTGTTAAATGAACACTAAGAGTATATTTTGCGCAATAGAAAAAAGAAATGACACCCATAGTGTAACGTGAAAAAATGCATCTATTTACATATATGCAAAGATTGTAGTTGAACACAATGTACTGGTTCATTGTTCCTGATCAAACATTAAGTAATTAATATCCCATCCCATGGACAGGTTCCAAATAAAATTTCAGCATCGTTTATATTATCTTAACCACGGCCTGCCCCAAGTCAGGAAAAGGCCTGCCCCAAGTCGGGAAAAGGCCTGCCCCAAGTCGGGAAAAGGCCTGCCCCAAGTCGGGAAAAGGCCTGCCCCAAGTCGGGAAAAGGCCTGCCCCNGCCCCAAATCGGAAAAAGGCCTGCCCCAAATCGGGAAAAGGCCTGCCCCAAAGTCGGGAAAAGGCCTGCCCCAAATCGGAAAAAGGCCTGCCCCAAATCGGGAAAAGGCCTGCCCCAAAGTCGGGAAAAGGCCTGCCCCAAATCGGAAAAAGGCCTGCCCCAAATCGGGAAAAGGCCTGCCCCAAAGTCGGGAAAAGGCCTGCCCCAAATCGGGAAAAGGCCTGCCCCAAATCGGGAAAAGGCCTGCCCCAAAGTCGGGAAAAGGCCTGCCCCAAAGTCGGGAAAAGGCCTGCCCCAAATCGGGAAAAGGAGGAAGGTTGGCCTTGCGCCTGGCGCCTTCATCCCGTGAAATACTTTTTCTGTAGAAAGAAGAACACACCAAGAATGAGCACATTCTTATGAGAACAACCTTATTGAAGCTAGTAGCTTTAGTGGACTTATCAAAGCTGCCTGGAACACGGGGGGCAGTTCTACTGACGCCAACATGATGAATGAATACAATTGTTGTAAAAGATACTATGCCATTACTCTAGCATCAGTCGGCGCAGGAGAACTGAATGAATGAACGAATGAAATAGTGAATGAATCAATGGATGAATGAATAGAGGGATGAATGAATGAATTGATGAATGAATGAATTGATGTATGAATGAATGGATGGATGGATGAATGAATCGATGGATGAACTAATGAATAAATGATTGAAGGAATGATCTATTAAGTTGTTTATGTACTTGTTGCATGATTTCTTATTATTTTGTTCAACACATTTCCTTTTCGTTGCTTGCATTTGTAACAAACATGGGCAAAGTTTTTAGGTGTTGATAAATGTTAAAAATTAAGCCTTCTATTATTTTACTGGTAACTTTAAAAATCTACAGACTGCACGGCAGAGGAGCTCCATCTTGACTCCAGCGCCAGGTCACCAACCCCAACACCAGAAGATCAAGGAGACGTGGACAGCGATGGTGAGCAGACCTCCAACAACGAGGCAGAAGCGTCGACTGTCTTTAGGGTACTCAGCCAGCCAGCTTATCCGGCCTACATTGCCTATCAGAGGAGACTGGAGAGTTTCGCCCTTTGGACATTCCACCATATCGCTGCGCCAATGTATTTAGCACTTGCAGGTTTCTTCTATGCAGGTATAAAGTGATGCATTTCGTAATTCGCAACATTTTTTTTTAAAAACTGGAGATGTTTGATTGAATAGGTCGCCCAGTCATTAGGAGGGAGAAGAAGAGGAAGACAGCGAAAAAGATGGGAAGATAACATCAAAGAGTGGCCGGGACTAAAACTGGGCGCTGCTGTGCGAAGTGCAGAAGACAGAGACGAATGGAGGAGGATAGTTCACATGTCATCTGTGGCGCCCCAACGGCCCAAGGACTAAGGGAAATAATGGAGATGATGAGTCATTAAAATAACTATTTGTTTACAGGGCTCCCCGGCAAACATTATTTTTCTTTGATAATTCTGCTTGACATGTGGTATAATAAAAGGTATGGGTTTCAATAATACCTTTAAAAAAAAATCCAGAATAGAAGACTGAAAAATCAATACGTTCCCCTCTAACTTCTGAACTACACGACTTTTTTGCTTTTCGTATTTCCTTTCTTTATCTTATATCACGTCAAAATCACTAATGGATAAAATCAAGCTTCTCTTCAACCCTTACACAAGTATCTCTATACTCTTTATTTATAAAGCAAACAGTTGATCATTTCCCCACCGCATGTCTGTCTGGAACTCACACTAAGAGAGGCAGCCTTGAAAACAGAGCTACATTTTCAGATTAAGCAATTGCCCATACAAAATAAAAAATAAAAATAATTGGAGTCTCTTTTCAATATTTTTTTTTTATTAAAGTCGTAGAACAATATTTTATTACCAAAATTGAAATAACTTTAAGGGAACTGTTTTGTCATAATTTAAAATTTTATGAATTATACGAATAAGTGGTCACACAATGTTCAACTAAAATTAGATGTTTTAAATATCGGATGTGGGGGGGGGGGTACAAACAAAGAATGCTAAAAGATGAGATACTTGATAGCTTGAATTGCTCTCAGGTTACGGCGACTGTGTCCGTTGTTTCCAGTGTGGACTGGGCTTGAGATCTTGGAAGGTAGGAGACAACGTGTATGACCAGCACCAGAAACACAGACCTCACTGTCCATTCCTCCAGGCCCAGCTCAGGGCAGGTGCCCCCACTACAGACACGACCCACCAGGCTCAGACAGCTGGAACTGATAGTGGTACGCTAGCTACGCCTTTAGGTCTGGGTTCATTTAGGGCCGGAGTCGAAGAGCCCCATCACCTGGCGCCAGTTTCTTGCTTTGTCCAATAAGGTCGGAAACGTTTATGAGCTTAATATGTTCAGAAAACAAGAACAGATTTAAAAAAAAAATAATAACTGTTACAGAACAGTTGGGGCATGATGATGTGCATTACTATACGTGGTGTACTTGGTAAAACTTGTTAAGTTCGTTACTTAAGATTCCAATTACAATAATTATCAGATTGATTATACGTGCATGCCATCACACGAGGGACACGAATGAGGTATATTTAAGTCGAGTTAACATTGCTTTATGAAAAGCAAAAATAATTTATAAGTAATTTTCAAATCCCTGTGTATAGTGCTAAGGAAAAAGTTGAACAAGATAATGCTAGACTTGAAATAAAAAGACAGGACAATGAGACGGAGATTTCGGTTAGAAAATAAGAAGCAACAGATAATTAGGAATCCAGAAAAAAAAAACAACTTATGCGTTAGAGAATCTCAAGGAAGTAAATGTAGTTCTATGTTTAGAGCCGGAAGCATTCTATGTTAGTGACGGAAGTTAAGTTGTTCATAACCAAAACGTGTCACCACATCATTCTGTGGAGCGAGCTGCACTATTTTCCTCATGTAACTTGAACACAGTCACCCACATATTATCGTTATCGTTAAGTTTTACAATCAAATAATATTTTTTTTGTAAAAAGAGAGATGGGATGGGTGAGAAAATTATACTCTGTTACGTACATCCCAACCGAATTTCGGTTTCGGCGCCGAAAGTTGTCATTTGATCACTTTAGGCATAGTGTTCGTTTCAGCCGAAACAAAGCGAACTTTTGGGTTATATTCGGTTTCGGCCAAAAGCGATTGAGGCTTTCGGCCGTCTACCAGAAGTCAGGGTGTCCCTCTGTCTGTCTGTCGACCGGCAATCCGATATTCATGTTAGCTCGATGTCTTGCTGCCATCGTAGGATGTATGACTAATCCTCCGCGAACACTGCTCACAACTGCATGATGACCTACTTGTCCAATATTTCCAATAAGAAAATTACAAGTATCTTAGTAAAAGGAAAATAGTTTTGTGCAAGAAATCTAAAAGAATGGTTAGTTTTTATATTATTATTTTTGTTTTCATTAACGTATTACGTAATAGACATACTTTATTATCATACTAAACGTAGCTCACAATCCGTTCAACTTTTTTTTAATCTGGGTCAAATCTAAAATTAGCCGATGAATAATAATTGAGAATAAAAAATTTTAAATGTCAACCAATAAGAACGTGTGTTTCAACGAAAATGTCTGGGTTAGCGGAACAAAGAATTCCCTCAAGGTCTGGGCATTTTAGTGGACCATTCCAAAAACAATACATCGGCTAAGCTTTCGATGGATACTTGGATACCACATATGGCCACGTAGCGTTGTAATTATATTATAGAAGCGAAGGGCGTGCAGGGATATATTTAGCATGAATTTGGCCTCCCCACCCCAGTAAACGTGTTCAATACTTTAAAATACATTTTAAACAACTTTAATAATTTTTTAATTTAAATTTTAAGGTAAAGTATTCAGTACATGCTTTACTGTTAAAATTCACAATAATTTCATTGTTTAAATGAAATTTAAATAAATAGCCATTAGGTAAGCCCCTCGATTTTCCGACGTACACTGAACGCATGTGCGAACGTGTTTCAAAATATCTAAATCTTTCGTTTCCGGCCGAACGTCTCGTCAAGCTTTTGCTTTCTGCTTCGATTTGAACCTAAATTCTTCTTTAACTTTCAGTTTGATTTCGGTTTCGGCCGAAGGTCTCGTTAAGCTTTGGTCTCAGCTTCGGTTTTGACCGAAATTCTTTTTTAAACTCTAGGTCTGGTTTCGGTTTCGGCCGAGATCAGAAAAATCATATTCGGCTCGTCTCTAGTTTTTCTGACGTGAACTCTTTCAGTGGAAGAAGGAAATACAGTTGAGTCGTCCGGCAACAACGAAAAATCGTCGAAACGTGTAAACATCAAGTTGACAGACACTTTCAACTCGTCATCTCATATGATCCATAAACAACAGGCTGTTGTCGGTTTCACGTTAGGCGATCAACCGACTAACATGTCAATCGTGTCCCACACCACAAGTAAGTCTGAAGCATTCACATTTGGATGAATTCAACGGCAGACGGGAAATTAGATCACAAGTTTGTTGATCATGTATTGCTAACAAAAAAAAAAATGAATTAAATAAAGAAAAAAAGTTTAAGGATAATATTAGAACATCAAAGGTGCAATCAGCATAATAAAATCCGCTAAGCATACATATTATAGCATATAATTGAATTATTATTAGTAGTCTTATATAGCGTGGCACCCCAGGGCTAACCGCGCTGCACATAAAACTATTAGCAAATATAACCATGACATTAAAAAAACACATATATTTATCTAATTAAAAACAGCTGTATGAAAACAAAACAAATGTATATTCACCCCACCCACCCACCCACCCCAGAACTTTAACACGTAAATCCATGGACGGCAGCCATCGCAATTAAGCGATTCATTTTTAAAAAGACATTACATTTTCATTTGTATTTTCAAACTATTTGAAATTCAATAAAAATAATAATAATAATAATAATAAACAAACAAAGAGACAAATATTACACCCTGTGTGGTCTAAGATATTTGCCGTGGTCCCTTTCACGGTATACACCCTGCAGTTGTTAGAAAATGCCACCCCGTCATATAAAGAAAAATTACACCTTGGCGGATCACCAAAAGTCTATTTTGGCGCCCCTGCTAGTCTGGCGCCCGGGGTCATATGTCCACTTATGCCCCCATCCCGTTCGACGAAATTTTCTGATTGAAAATAGAAACACTGTCTACGGTCCTATAGAAACGGAGACAATTAAATGTAAATTTACATTTTGCTATTTTTCCCCCCATCTTTTCTCCATACTTTAAGATGTTTGATTTCCAAGAAAATCATTGAATTATTTTATAGGACAAAGTTCATCACAGGAAAGTCTGAAGCTAAAACTCCTGGAACATGAAAACACAAAACTTCAGGTACAACTTCTGTGTAAGGTTTGCTTCCAAGCCCCGTGCCGAGACCTGTTCTTGCCGTGCGGTGAGCTGTATGCATGCACGGACTGCAGCAAGCTGCTCACGCACTGTCCATCCTGCTCTCGGCAAATCTTGGCTACCATCACGACATACTTGACATAAGGTAAGATCAGAACGAACGTAAGATTGGGTTTTTAAAGTATAGTCGGAAGCTAATACGATTTTTATTATACGAAGATCTATCACTTTTAATTGAAACAAAATACAACAATTAGCAAAAAGTTTCCCAGTTACCGGCAACCAGATGGCTTGGGCGCAAAACCAATACAAGTATCCTTCGACTGAATCTAATAATTAGAACAGACTTATTTGATCATTTACATGATTAGACAGAAGTTTGATTTACATTTTCTTTTTTTCAATTATGCATTTATATTTTCGGAAGAACATATTATTTTTTTATAAATTAAGTCCATATTCTGATAGTGACAAATATTTCTTTTTTCCCCCCCGTATATAGGTAAGCATAGAAATGTCATAACTTCAAATATAAACTATAACTCATCATTATGGTACGAGTTCCAGCACCTGGTAGCAGGAGTAATAGGAAATAGCAACTTTGCCTCAAAGTTACAGCAAGGATGAACTAGTTAAGGATGTTGAACTTCCTAGCAAGGAGGAATCAAGAAAGATCTCCGATTGGGAAAAGTTTTTCCAAGAACTTTCTATTTGTATAGCGGTTTGAGAGTAGGACACTTTGTTGGGCACAAGAGTGTTAAAATCCCTTTGACAACAATACATTAAAAATAAGTGTTTCTAGGCAATTATTACATCAGCGAGGCGGGAAGGGGAAAAGCCCCCCACCCCCCCCCCCCAAAAAACCACCCGCCCCCCAAAAGCAGCTCCTCAGATCAAAAGGTGTGGGAAAAAAAAAAAAAAAAAAAAATAAACCACGGGGCGTAGAAAAGGATGTTCTTAAGAAAGAAAGTGCTGGAAATAAAAAAAAAAAAAAGATTGCCAGCGATCGGAAGGTATGGAATGATATTCTTAGTGTGGCCAATGTTCCACTGGGAGTTCACTAAGAAGAACGGACCAAACTAAGATTGTTTAGAAGGAATGCGTTCTTCCTAAATATGTATTATGTTCTCAACTTTAAAAAAAAATTGTTGTAAACTCACGCAAAACAAACGAAGTTAATGAATTTTCTTTCGGCTACGCGATGACTTTTGTATTATTATTGATGGGATGGCGCCTGTCCATGTGAAGTTATGGAGAAGCAGGTGAAATTTTATTAACGTGAACGTTTCGCGGGACATTTCACCAGGAGCAACTAACCAGAGCCATCTCAACGAGGCCGTATCAACGAGGCCATCTCAACAAGGCCATCTCAACAAGGCCGTCTCAACAAAGCCATCTCAACAAGGCCGTCTCAACGAGGCCATCTCAACAAGGCCATCTCAACAAGGCCATCTCAACAAGGCCATCTCAACAAGGCCATCTCAACAAGGCCATCTCAACACCATCTCAACAAGGCCATCTCAACAAGGCCGTCTCAACAAGGCCATCTCAACAAGGCCATCTCAACAAGGCCATCTCAACAAGGCCTTGTCAACGTGGCCGTCTCAAGAGGGCCGTTCCTTCAATAAAAATTAACTTACCCACACGGAAATATAAAAGGAAAAACAAAGGTTTGTCACTTAAAGATTAAAGGGGGGGGGGGTGGGGGGTGGCGGGTTGATGTATCGTCAATATTTAAATGTGAAGTCATGTACATTTGCCCCCGACAAAGGCTAAGGAAACTACCAGCTCCCTGGATCTGGTCAACTATGTGACTGTTTTATGTTATTTTAATGGCCGAAGAAACAGCTGCTGTCCATTTTAACTTTATTTTTATTTTAAAATGAAATAGACAGAAAAAAACAAAAAAAACAAAACAACAACCACAACAGCACGTGCCATCCTTTATTGTCCCTCTCACGTCTCGTCTCACTTTCACTTATTGGATTTTTAACATTAATGAAATGTTAAATAGTTATGTTAAAAGTACATTTATGTCTGAGTTTAAAAATAAATCTGAATTTTAAAAAAAAAAATAAAAAAAAAAATTAAACATAAGTTTAAACACATGTTCTTGGGTTGTTAATTAATTAATATTTGCGGCCTAGTTTTAGAAGATATGGATTTAAAAAAACATTAAACAAGTAAACAGATAGATTCAAACATTTTTTTCTTCTCCTTTAATTTTTAAAATTACAAAGTTTATGAATTTCATGTTTAAAAAAAATATATATAAATATTCCTCATTTACGGTGAAAGAATTTTAACCCAACTTAACCAGCAACTTTTAGTTTGTCAGTAGGTTTGATCATCCCAGAGTTGTTGATCGCTACTGGAATTTAAAGTTATGGTCTCAACATGTAATGAACTGAGTTATTTCCTAAGTGGTTTGTGTCATGATTTGATTCAAGGATATTAAGTGTTTTTTTTCTCCTTGAGCGCTCAAGGGTTTTTGATTTGGAATTTTAAAAAAATTTTTTGGTCATGAGTTGTGAGATTGAGTAATAGAGAACAGTATGTTGGGTTGTCACACTTTTTACATTTTTCCCCCCTATTATCTGAATTTTGTTTTAAACGAAGCGAAATTTTACTCAACGGTGGTTGACAAAATGTTGGTTTTCTGGGTGTTCTTGCCAGACCCCTGGACTATGACTTCTGGCTCCGTCGTCTAGAGTCTAGGGTCACAACATAATGAAGCGCTCTACCTTAAGGTCACGCCAAAAACATACTCAAAGTCGTAAAAACACTTTATAACCCCCCCCCCCCCAGCCTTCTTAAATGTTGATTCTTACAAGGGCATCAATTTTATGTTGTAAACAAATCACAATCCATATTACAAATGGCTGACAATATCCCTTCACTATCACCAGCCAATCAATATCACCCGCATTCAGGTACAAAGCTCAACTATTTTACACGATGACTCTCAAAATACGCCGAAGAGGACTAAACAATGAACTAATGTCATCTAACCACACACTTCTGGGGTATATTATATTGTTTTGTCCTTTAGTACGCGCAGATGACCAAGGCAATTTTCGACTTGAGGGGTAGCCTTGACTTGAGCTGTATTTTGTTTTAAAGTGAGGTAGACAGAGTTGCTCAATTCGTCAGCCTGACTCTCTCGTCCTTGCCTATGTGTTTCAATGGCAAGACTTAGTCAAGAGGACTGGAAATAGACCAGGATGCAGTAGATGACCTCCAGTGTTTTTAATGTCTCACTGCGCTCTTTATGCGTTCTACGTCGCAGGAGTTGTCGGGATTTTCAATGTGTCAATGTCATACTGCCTACGGCACTCCTATCTCGGGATGTGAATTTAGTGGTTTGCCTTCTCTCAGATAAGTTGCCATCCAAAGGTTAACGAGTGCCAAGCACCCGGATGGGCTACACTCTCGTTAACTAAACCACCGTTGTCCCACTCACGCGCCATAAATAAGTACACGCTTGTTTACCGCCCTTCCTCCTTCATCCAATCCCACATCGGCAGAATACCACGACTCAGCCTCACGATCACGTTCACACATAAACATTCACACAAAAAAGTGATTCCCATCCCTCGAAAAAATTTAATGAAGCCACAATCCATGTGGTATGAGTTGAAATAAGCCTAAGGGCATGGGCGCCCGCAGAAAACTTTCTAGGGGGGGGGGGCAAAAAATCGATTAACTTTCCAGGGGGTGGGGAGCAAAATTTTTTTTTGCAATGTTTTAATGTAGCGTATTTGTATGGTGAACGAACGGACAGGACATCAGCTTAGTTACTTTCTCTTTATTTTCTCTTTACTTTAATACATTTTTTGTCTATTTTTGTCTAAATTTTTTTTTATCCAATCAATCCAGGGGGGGGGGGCAAGTGCCCCACCTTGCCCCTACCTGTGGGCGCCCATGCCTAAGGGTACCAACTTTGAGATCCGACCATTTCTGAAAGGCCTTCATGCTATAACAAAACAAGAGACACATCCGTACGCACTGCGCCCAGCCACTAAACAGGAAGACACAGTAGAAGATGGTCAAGCTGAAGCGAATGATTTTCAAATATTTATTTTAATACTGAAACAAGGTGTTTGAAATGGTCTTTGTTGCCCTTACTCAATAGAGACGAGCACGTTGCATTGTGGGGAGGTTTCCTTGTGTTTCTAGAAAAGGAGCCCAGTGCCTCCGTCGTCAATGTCGTCGTCGAGCCAATGCAGGAAACTATGCTTACATTGATAGCAGACGACGCTGTCAGCATAACCTAGAAAAACCGGAATACAAAAAAATTACCTTACAGATCAAACGATCAATAATCGATTGTAATATGTAAATAAACATTATTTCAAGGGCACGAGCAAAACAAAATCAAAGAGGCAGTTCCTACATCACCAATGGGGCCTTTCAAATATGGCCCTCCAGCTAACATCAACAAAAGAACTTTCTCACAAGGCCCTCTCCCCACCGTCACCTAGGGGCTTTTCTCACACCAACACATCAACCTCACATCAACCTCACACCAACCTCACACCAACCTCACACCAACCTCACACCAACCTCACACCAACCTCACACCAACCTCACATCAACCTCACATCAACCTCACATCAACCTCACATCAACCTCACATCAACCTCATATCAACCTCACATCAACCTCACAACAACCTCACATCAACCTCACAACAACCTCACACCAACCTCACATCAACCTCACATCAACCTCACATTAAACTCACATCAACCTCACATCAACCTCACATCAACCTCACATCAACCTCTGTCTAAACTTCACCCCCAAGAGGCTTTCCTCATATGACCCTCTCCTCAACCCCGCACTAAGCGATTTCTCACTATCCCCTATCCCCCAAACCCACCATCGTCTAGTGCAGTGGTTCTCAACCTTCCTAACGCCGCGACCATTTAATACAGTTCCTCATGTTGTGGCGACCCCCAACCACAAAATTATTTTTGTTGCTTCTTCATAACTATAGAGTATATCTGTTTTCCGATGGTCTTAGGCGACCCCTGGAAAAGGGTGATTCGACCCCCAAAGGGGTCACGACCCACAGATTGAGAACCGCTGGTCTAGTGTCTTCCTCACGTGCCCTCTTCCTATTCAAACACAAAGGGCTTTTCTCACATGCACATCTCAACAACTTGTTTTAAATCTATATCGTGCTATTTTGTGTTGTTGGGGAATTTATTATGCCTATATATATATATATATATATATATATATTGTGACAGAACGGTTGTTACGGAGGAGGGCTCCAGTCCTGACTTGTCACAAACTATATTGACTTTGTAGTGGTTAGTACAGGACCGCTCCTCTCTGTGATTTATATTGTGGGTATCTAGGCGTTGAGACAGACAAAAGCACAACGTAGACTTGAACGAAATCCAACAACACTCCAGGGTGTAAAATAGACTACATTTATTACTCAAATAAAAAGTTCTTCTATAGTATTCACTAACGGTCAGCTATCTACGAGTCTTTCTAAACTGTTAAACTATCTCATCTCCTACGTTCCACTAGTCAACTTGTTTCCTGATCTTTTGCGACCATTCCCTGTACACCTGCTCAACTCCGTCTTAGCTGTTTGGTCTCTCTTCCTCAACTAACGTCGTAACTCTGTTACCTCTTCCTCAACGAACTCGTAGCTCTTCTCTATCTTCCTCAACTAACCCCCTAATCTTCAAAAGTTCTGTCTTATATGGGATTCTCTAACTCCATAGGTGGCCCCAGGAATGCTCTCAATTAACACATCCCTGCCCCATAATTTCCGCTCGAGTCTTGTCTCATAGAGCATGAAATCTGGTTTATGAAAAGACACAACAGGCAACCAATCAATTCATTCAGTGCAAATAATGTAGTTGTGATGAAAACTCGTTCAATCATGGCTTAGAGTTAGAGCTGCAAGTAAGGCTTAAAAATCCGGCAGCGTAAATCAAGAAAATAAAACATAGAGCAGGAAAGTTCTTGATATAATGACCGAAATACCCCATGGTATTTTGACGGTATCAGCAGTTGCGTAATGCGACCTAATGTCGCGAAACAGCATCACGTCCCCCTAACCCGAAGTGCGCCCCTAACACACACACACACAATAAACATACACATACACACTTTATAAATGTTATACTTATATGTAAACCACAATTGCTTCCCTGGACGTTCGCCCCCCCCCCTCCACCCGCTTGGACATGCGCATGCAACTGAACAAATTCTAGTCTAAAAGCATCTTCGTTTTTTAAATGTTAAATAAAAAGCGACCCACCTGAATCAAACTTCAGCTTGACACCGAATGGTCTTAAGGCAAGGAGGCTGTGAAAAATACAAATTAAAATTGTAATATAGCTTTTGAAACTCTCTCAATCTTTCTTCCCTCCCCCTATCTCTCTCTTTCTTTCTCTCTCTCTCTTTCTCTCTCCCCCTCCCACATACAACGTCATACACGCACATAAAAATGTTCTTAACATCACACACGAAAGAGGGACTGCAGTGGTTAGTCAATCGCCCGGCAGTCAGCTCAACTCTTTTCAACTCATTTCCAACAACTCAAATCAGCCTTACACTCTAAATCAGTGGCAGTTCAATACCCACCAAAGCCAACATCTCAAGCACCCCGTGTGCCCTTTTGGATACTACTTCTCTGTCCGATTTTAGAATCATCATTCTGTTTTTTCTGTTGTTTCTTCGCTAACGAAGGCTTCCTGTAGACACGTTCGTTGTTTTGTTGCGTTACTTTGTTTGCAGGTTAGCCCATACTATTTTTTTTTTTATCATTTCCTATTTTGATAACCTGATTTCAAACCAGGAGCCAAAATGATCAATTAATTGATCGTGTGCCCTCAAATTTTTTGACAAACAATTCGTGAAAAATGACAAATCCTAGTAATCCAATGCACATTCAATTTTTCAACGCTTTGTTTTGGCCAGTGCAACTCTCATGCCATTTTTTTCGCGTATATCTGTTTCGATATCTCGATTGAATTCACGGATTCAAATATGTCAAACAGGAATGTTCAGTTCTTAGTTTCTAAGAATTGACATGCCGGCTGTTGGAGATCTGAGAGATGAGAAATGACACACTGGCTGTTGGAGATATGAATGCTAGATTGTAACTGATTGATTATGCTTCACAATATGTGTGAGAGAAATATTTCTGGGAACAGAGTGGGCCTGGAGCTGCGAAGCACACGCTGCTGGATTCCAAGAAAGTAGTGTGCCTAAAGTGCTACTCTGTATCAGTGGTTTTCAAACTTTAGTAATTGTACCAAGTCTCACAGGAACTACATTGGATTCCTAAACGGGACATGACAACTAATGACAAAAAATGTAAATAGATGAAAATTTAAACTAAGTCCCCCCCCCCCCGAAACCACTTCGCGGTCCCCTAGAGCACCGCAGACCACAGTTTGAGAAACACTGCTCTGAATCCTCCATACAATCCTCCACAGAAATTCAAAAGTTTGACAGCAAAACAGATGACAGCTTTCCAAATGAACAGCACAAACACGAAGGGTGGGTATCTTTATCGGGAAACGTTTTCAAGGTGGGCTGTGAGATAAGCTGGCAGTAGGTCGTGGCAGTAGGCAGGGCACGGGAGATGTTGTGGTCGTGGGAGCAGGGCACGGGAGATGTTGTGGTCGTGGGAGCAGGGCACGGGAGATGTTGTCGTCGTGGGAGCAGGGCAGGGGAGATGTTGTGGTCGTGGGAGCAGGGCAGGGGAGATGTTGTGGTCGGGGGTGGGCGGTGTTGTGGTCGTGGGAGCAGGGCGAGGGAGGTGTTGTGGTCGTGGGAGCAGGGCACGGGAGATGTTGTGGTCGTGGGAGCAGGGCAAGGGAGATGTTGTGGTCGTGGGAGCAGGGCATGGGAGATTTTGTGGTCGGGGGAGCAGGGCATGGGAGATATTGTGGTCGTGGGAGCAGGGCATGGGAGATATTGTGGTCGGGGGAGGGGCTGGCTTGAGTTTGGAATGGACGAGTGTGGAGAGGGTTTGTGGGGGTATCTAAACAAGATCGCCACTTCCGGTTTGCCCTATCTCCCAGTTTTTAAGAATGGAAAATGGAATTAGAAATTTATTTTAGTTTTTGTGTAACGGGACTGATGCTAACTAAACACATGTTGTAAAATAATTGGAATTGAATGTTAAATAGCAAAGGGATAATATTTTCTTTAAATATTGTTTCCATTGTAGAATCTTTTTCTGTGATCAGGCGCGTCTACGCAGTGGGGAAGCAGTTGCTTTCAATCTGATTTAAAAGGAGTGGGGGGGGGGGGGTGAAAAAACACCCTTTCCTTGCTGGGTTTTGATTGTCTCCAGATAAAAAAATTTAAAATAAGGAATAGGAACACAAATTGAGAGTTACAAATTTAAAAAAAAAAAGGAAAAAAGAATGTCTTAGCCGGCGATTGATGACCACACGACCATTACGTCACGCTTGGGCAACTCATTAAAAAAAAAATAAGAATCAGGCAAAAAAGTAAGACGCTTATTAAAGTCCATATTTTGAATAAAATCTGGATTTGATAATTTGACTTGTTTAAAAATGTTAAGCGGTATGAAGCTATTAGCGAAATTGTTAGCGTTTGCTATCAATATCTATAATGAATACTAAAAAAATGTTCTAACAATTTTTTAACTGAAAATTTTTGCATTACTAATATTCATACCTTATTCACCCATAAGGAAATGCGAGAATTGACCAAAGTCAAGGGGAGTGGGGGGGGGGGGAATTTCTTCGCATCCCCCACCCAGTTTGGGGGGGGGGGGGGTGGGGGGGGGGGGGAGATGGCCCTGTCTGGGACTAAAAAATTGATTGAGCTTGCTCATTCAGTGTGATACACATTTTGTTCCCAAAAGACAAATTAGGAACAATGACCGAGGATTTGTAATCACCTTATATCCCGTATAAACATCGGGCAGTCGGTATAATTTGCGGCCATGCTTGGACACTCGTCGCTGTGGAAGGGTTCACGTAGAAATCTTAATTCGTCGTATGACGTCACCTGGTCACACCTGATGAAGAGAGAATACAACTGTTATTACATTGGCGGCGTTAGTTTTTGTGTCTTGTTAAAACAACAACAAAAACTGACGCTTAAGGCTGAAACGTCTAAGAACTATATTTGTCAAATAATGATGAAACCCTCTGCCATTGAATTACAGATATACCATAATCATTACTGGTGAAACAAGTATTTTATAATTTATTTTCAGAAACCTTTAATTCTTTTTTCTGAATTTTTTTAAATTTAAAAGAAACGTAATCCCTAATGACTACGATGCCACATTTTTTGTCGCGTTTAAATAAAAAAAAAAAAAAAAAGAATGTGGTCGAAGTTATTGCATATTTTTTTATGAAAAATAAAACATACATATGATCTCCAATTATAGATAAGATGGATGGCTTTAAAGATATACTGTTATCGACATACAAAATACGCCTATTGCATTTTTTTCCTGTCACGATTGTTACATCCCTCAATAATTCTACTTTCCAGGTGCGTAGGAACGGGGGTGGGGGGTGGGGGAGGGGGGAGGGGGTTTGGGAGAGTGCACGTTTTATGTGGAGGGGGCGGCATCTTTTGCTAATAGAAAAGTTTTTTTTAGTACAAGGGGAAAACAAAAGGATTGGCTCCCCCGGGCGGGACTACCCCTAGTTACACCACTGCCACGGTCTATTATAAAAAAAATTCAAGGATAAATACGATTACACTGAGAATTATTTTAGGAACACGTGACAGTAGCTTGACCTTAGAAGTTTTTTTTTTTGTGAAAACATTGGAAGATATTTGAGAAGTTTCTTCAAACCTCAGGCATACAACATATGCAATGGTAAGGGAAAATCCTTTTGCCTCCAGACGTTTAACTACCAACTCTGACTCATTGTCTGTTATTTGTAAGGATTGGGCAGCACATCTTGTGGATGAGCAGTTGTTCAGATGTGTCGTCTCAGCGATCTGCAGCAACGCCATGATTCCCTGAAGCAGAACCAGACTGGGTGATGCATTAGCTGCAGCAAAGTAGTTGGCACACTAAATAATAACCTATCTGTTACATAAAATATACATTTACAGCATCCATGGAAGGTAAGAAAGGGGAGTATTTGCACCTCCACTGATTTCATGCCTAGTTTTAAAAGAAAATCAACAACAACAACGAAACAAAGTTTTAATTTTTTTTTTACAATACAAACACTCTATTGTTCAACGAATTTCTGTTCAACGAAAGTTCTTTAAATTTATTTCTATTTCACTTACGATTCATATATTTTTACCCCAAAAAAGTGTTACTTTGGTAAACAGAATTCAAGCAAATCTTGAAAGGATAAAGTTGTTGTTCGACTAAGGTGTGTCACGAATCTTAGTTTTAGCTCTGTCCTGTTCCGAGAATCAGCGCCATCAGTAATGTAACTTTATGTGCAAACCAAAAGATATTCGAATACATTGGCCTCGCCTGCATGGCGTCAAACTAAAAGATAACAACAATGGCTCTACTGTTGCTTATTCTGACATATTGTGTCATATGTTTAGCCACTACGCGTTATTCTTTTGGTGTACATGACAATAACTTTAGTTGAACGTAAAAAAAACCCCCACTGTAATATCATATTAAATGAGGAACTGTTTAAATCAGCAAGTTAGCATGTTGTCCACTTGGCAGAAGCAAATGTCTTGCAACATAAAGAATTTTTAAATATAGTATTTCCCTTTCTTTTTTGTTAAGTGATTTTAGTAGTTATTTAGATAATTATTTAGAAAAGATGTTGTTTTTATTTTAAAATGTAATTTAATAATATGAAAAAAAAATGAATTAAGAAATCTTATTTATGAGTTTCCTGAAAATACTAGTCATTCTGAGGTCACTTTTTTATTTTAAGGCGTCTATCCCAAAAAGAAAATACCTTCCTCGCTCAAGTTATTACCTCCCCTACACATAATAAAATAATTTTCATATAACATTCACATTGTCATAGACCTGTTCACCCCTACACTTTCACCATAATAACGACGTTTTTAAGCCTTAGACTATGGCACTACGAAGAGCCAAACCACCCCCACCCTCCCCCCCAAACAAAAAAAAAAGCCACGGGTTCGGGAGATTGTTCCCGTTCGTTTGGTTGATTTAAAAAAATCAATAAATTGGCGATCTGTAGCTGGAACGCCAGATCGGGGCGCTGTCCGGGGAGCGCCAGATTTGGGCTCTGCACTGGGATCAGACTGTTTCCTGGCACGGCCCTGCACGATCCTGTTCATTTCAGTGACATGCATGTGTGTGTGTATGTGTGTATGTGTGTGTGTGTGTGTGTGGTGTGTGCGCGCGTGTGCGTACGCGCGTGTGGTGCTATGAAGCAGTCATGGCTGGTTTCTAATTTTGAATCTGTTTGTTTGACTATCTTGTGTGGGTAACAAATCAAAACGTATCTAACACTATTTCAGTTGACAGTTTTCATTTGATCATTGCTTTAAAAGAATTTTCGTTATCACCATCTCACATAATATCTCTAAAAGAAAGGTTCACAATTTTCTTGTAGTCGGGTTTCCTTTCCATTAAAGCAATAACTGTTTAAAAACGTTTTTTTTTTTTAAAATAGGTTAAAAGTTAACTGATCGAAAACAGAGTTTTTCCATTATAATTTAACGGTAATACATATTTAATACTTTTTTTGAAATTTATACTTATCAAAAATTTCAAAAGTTCGGTTTTCAATTTTTGTCAATGCCAACGTCATGCCATCCTCAACATTGAATCTGTTTTATTGCTTCGTTTTTCAAATGAAGAATCGTTTTAAATTCACGCTCACTGAGATATGTAGTAGAACATTATGATATTGACAGTGTTCAAACTTTAAGACACGATGAAAGGTAATTTTGATTTCAAGTATTTTTTTAAAAAAGTTAAAATTTAAGCCGTTGAGCCCAAATAAAACGATGTTTTGAGAACCTGTGCTATGAAAATACACATGGCAACATTTTCCCCATTGAGTTTGTCCCCCTCCCTTTCCCAAGACCACTATTTCCTGGTGCCAATAAATTTAAACACCTTGTTTTTTTATATCTACTTGAGGACACTTGAAGAGGGGCATGTGCAAATAATTTGCACCAGAACAGTAAAAACCATACTATTAAATAAATACAATAATCAATGACTTTGGTTAGGGTAATGTAGGTTACATGCAAATGCCATCAGAAACATTCAGGGTAGAGGAAAAAAACTGAAGAAGAACAATCCAATTTTTTCGATAGAAAATAAACAGACAGACGAACTTAGCCGGTGTAAGTCCGTCGGGCCGAGACCGAGCACTGAGATCGGAGCTCAGCATCACTGGCTCGGTGGTGTTACATGGGATTTTGTCTCTTCGTGGCGTGACTGACCAGTAGGGAGGTTTCCTCCTGAAGCTAAAAAATCCCGGCCAAACGCATGACTTCCCACGCAACAGAAGTTGCGCGCTAACATGATTACGTGTCGCCGATATATGAGGATATGAGGCTTGGTTTTCTTTAAAAATCCTTGCTGAGGATTAAAAAACATGCGGCCCTGAGAAAGCCGCTCCTAGGCGACCGTTTCGTCCCGACACAGTCCTGTCCGAACCACTCCCCGAACGGTGGGGTGAGGTAACGCAACACCACCCCGGAGAGAAAGCAAAGCCGTTCTGACCCACGTCCACACAACTCTCAGGAACGGTGGGAGAAAGTTGCGCTTGAGACTACTCCCGGAGTGGAGGTAAAGCCGTGCCACACCAAGGAACGTACGGCTCCCTGGGCGGTTGGGGAGGCAACGCAACGCCATCTCCGGAGAGGAAGCAAAGCCGTTCCAACCCAACGTCCAGACCGCAAGACTCATTGGCCAAGGGGGGCTGTGACGCAAAACTGTCCCTCATGAATGGAAGCAAACTGCCCAGAATTCCTTTACTCAAGACCGTGTTGCATGGCCGGAGTCCCCAGGGACTACTAGGCCATGTTTCATGGCCGAGTTCCTAAGAGATAGAATCTCGACCTCTTAGAGTATTGATCTTTATTAGCCGGTGTAAGTATAAGTCAACCTGTATCTAAATTACAATAGTTTAATAAAAATGAACAAGGCCTGACCGTACTGTATGTTTTAAATTGCTATGTCATTGGGTCCCTTCCAGTACCCCTAAAGTATTTAATCTAGCCCTACGGCGTCGACATATAACCAAAATCATGTGATGTCAGCCACCAATGATTACTATTAATTTTTATTTAAACTCCACTAAATAGTATGAGGCAACACTCTTATTATTTTAACCAGAAAAGCGTACTCAAACTGCTGTGCCTCATGCAAGGAAAGGCGTTGCTACTCTACTAGTATCTACTACGACTAGATCTAAGTCAAGAATCTGCTTACATGAACTACATTTTATTCTACAATTATCAAAAAATAAACGTATAAATAAATAAATAAATAAATAAATGAATAAATAAATAAATAAATATATATGCTATTTTAAAAAAAAATATTCTGTTTTTTCGCTGACGAAGGCTTCCTCCCGACACGTTTGTTGTTTTGTTGCGTTCATTTTTTCAGGCTTGACCTTACTTTGTTTCACTCATTTCCTATTTTGCTAACCTGATTGCAGTCCCTCCACTTATTATCATTTCAGAGAGCAGCTCCTCCACATTGACCTCACCTGTCTCTTACTTGACTTCTAGCAGATTTACTCCGGTAAATTCACAATCCCGAGGAGACTCCAGCCTGAATAAAAGTCAAAATCCCGGCCCAAAAACCCTGCCGTCTTAAATGTGTCCTTTCACGTTTTGTTTCGGCTAAGATACACTGTTATAGTTACATAAGTTAGTCTTTGAGGTATTTATCTAAGCGGTTTTCGGGTGGGGGTTGTGGGGTGGGGCTTGGTGAAGCCCTTACGCAATGTTGCAATAGACCCCGAGGGAAAATTCCATGACAGAGTTGGATGATGAACTCTCTGTTTCGTAATTGCTTGACATTATAGACCGACCGAAAGTGATTTTTTGATTTCGGCCGAAACCGGAACCAGATCGAAAGTTAGTTGACTTTCTGGCGAAAACGAAGCTAAAACCAAAATCTTCACCAGACTTTAGGCCAAAACCGAAGGCGAAACCAAAAGCTTAACAAGACTTTCGGCCGAAACCGAGAGATTTAGACATTTTGAAATTCGCTCACGCATACATTCTGAATACATCGAAAAATTATGTGGGAAAATATCAATATTTACATTCTTTTAAAAAAATGAGATCATCGTGGATATTAATAAATAAACATCTAATGCAGTGGTTCTCAACCTTTCTAACGCCACGACCCCTTTATACAGCTCCTCATGTCGTGGCGACCCCCAAACATAAAATTATTTTCTTTGCTACTTCATAGCTGTAATTTTGATTCTGTTATGAATCGTAATGTAAATATCTGATATGCAGGATGTATTTTCATTGTGACAAATTTAACATAATTAAAGCATAGTGAGTAATCACAAAATCAATAGGTAATTATATATTGTGAAATATTTATTTCTTATTTCAAATAAATGAAATTTGGCCTTGAAGCATGATGTAGCTTGGGTAACAGTCTTATTTTAACAACAGTAAATTACTTTGCTACATTTTGCAACAGTATGCGTAAAAAGCCAACGTCAGTTCGAAGGTTGAGATTTTTTCTCTCTTACCAGATCAGAAATGCTCGGAGCAGTCTTTGCAAGAGCACAACGAAGATGATCTTCCACAACACAACAAGTCTACGTCTGTATTTAGACTTGATTACCAACAAGCTGGAAAACCCTGTTTCACAAAGATATGTTGTTGGAAATGGAAGTAGAGGGCTCAATACAGTCTTAGACAGAACAGGATAAGACTGGAAACACTTGATTCAGAATTTTGTAACTGGCATTGTAGAGAAATCAGTTCTCGCTGCATCGCTGTTAATAATTTCAATGAACTCCTCTTGTATCGACTCAGGAACATCTTCAACTTTGACTGTGAATGGACTTCTGGCAAGTGCAAATGGGGTGTCAGAATGATTTGGAAAGTACGATGAAATTTCGTCTCCAAGCAAATGAAAGTGTTCCTTCACAGAATTTATCATCGTAATCCCTTTGCCTGGTTCAATGTCATGTTTCTCAAAGAAACCAGATGAGTTAGGCAACATGTAAATTTTATTTTCATCCACTTTTTTGTTGTTGTCAAAGCTGAAATTAACATTTGAATGATCGCATCTTTTCAGACAAATCGAGGCATGTTGCGTTTGATCCTTGCAGTGATAAATTTAACTCATTCAAGATGGCAAAGATGTCAACCGAGAAAGCTATATTCTGAAATTCCCTTTTATCACTAAAAACTGCTTCGAACTGCAGTCTTGCTTTCTGATTTTTTAAAAAAAATGTGAGTTCATCACGAAGCTCAAAAACACGTTTAAAATCTTTTCCTCTCGACAACCATCTCACTTCAGTGTGAAATAGCAGAGCATTGTTCGGCACATCAACTCGTTGCACAGTTGCTAAAACAGTCGACTGTTTAAAGTGTTCGTCTTTACACAATTGATAGAACTTATGACAGTCCTTATGACGCTTTTCGTTGCTTCTTGTAACTCTTGTGGCAGCGTCTTCGTTGCTAATATTTGCTGATGAATCATGCTGTGAGTTCCAATGACTTTGGTGACTCATTCAGAACCAAATGTTGAATCCAGATAAACATCCTAGTATACATCTGTACAAGACGTTTCCCAAGAGATCTTATGGTAGACATCCTAGTACAGCTATAGCACTATATGTGCTAACACCACAACACCTTTCCCATGAGATCATATGATCTTTCAGAAATACACCAACTGTGTCAAATACATCACGTGCAGTAGTTGTCGTTCCAAAAGGTTTGCAAAAAAGAAACTCATCTTTAAAGTCACCATCATTAGTATACTTCACGTAAACTCTTATCTGTGAACAGTTTGCAACTTCTGTAGATTCAACAAGCTGGATACCAACATTGGAAGTGGCGCAAATTTTATTTCCTTGATTACCTGATCAAGAATATCAACATACATGGCATCTATTTTTATTCGGACAGTGTCGTTCGATAAGGAAATCGCACTCAGTTTCGTAACAAATTTTTCTCCAATCATAATGAAATTTGTTACCCACAGGTTGAGAACCGCTGATCTAATGGATGCTTTTGCTTCTACCATTTTAATTAAAAATTAATTTAAATTTGTTAAAAATGTATTTCAAAAATTATAAGTGATCTGGGAAGTGAACATTTTCACCAATGTTTCTTTCAGCATTTTACCCTGGGGGGCACTTCAGATTATCAGGGGGTGGGTGGCTGTGCCAGTTGCCAGTGGCCAAAGCTAAGGGGTGGTAAATAGGACATACGTTCAGGGGCGCCAGACTTGCAGGGGGGTGCAAAATGGGCTTTGATGGAATTAATTGGTTGAAAATAATGGGTTTCAGAATTGGAGGGGGGCGAAAAATGAAATTTATCCCCTGACGCCAAACACCGGAGATACGCCACTGCGTCAAAATAGGGCGGATGGAGTGGTTCACCCAGGAGTCAATTTTTCTTTATATGGTGATGTGGCATTTTTTGGACAACTGCACAATTTGAATCATGAAAGGGAGGATGGCACAACTATTTGGCCGCTCATGACAGCATTAACAGTAGCTACGCCCTAGGCTGTCTATCTATCTTTTTTTCAAACGTCCGGGTGGGAAATGGCAGAATTAGCCGTACTAATGACCAAAGACATCTTAAATTCCGCACCAGCGGGACGCTAACTATATTCACTCTAGTTATGTCACCCTTGAGGGTACACTTTTGCCCTAGATTATTCTCGCCCCTTAAATCATTATAATCCCCAGAAAATTTTTGATCAATTCAAAATACAAGAATACATTTTTTCACATATCTTAAATTAGTTTTGCAACATTCTACACTTAATTGGAGAGAAATGCAAGAGATCCGAATTAAAAAATGTAGGTGTACCTTGACCTTAGAGCAGTCGTGTGCGCCCAGCAACCCTTACGACTGCAGGGTGCCTCGGCTATTTTAGGGGCTTAAAGATGTGATCAGGATATTTTCTTTATTATCATCTTTCCAAGCAGGGTTGGCAAAATGGAACTTGCTTGACCTGCTTGGGTTATGCAAATAATAATAATAATAATATTAATATTTTAAAACAATTATTTAATTAAAACTAGTAATACGGCTTTTATTTTATATTTACGTTATATTTAGGGATAGCTACTTAATTAATAAATGAATTGCCAAAAAAAATTAATTTAAAAGGGTTCCATCACTAAAAAGCAATGCAAACATTATTTTATATGATGAACGCAAGTGGAAAAAAACCAAAATTACTTAAAATAATAATGCTTAGAGTACCTTTTCTAAATATTTCCTAATTTTACCAGAATAAAATAAACAACAACAACACCCTCCCCCTTTTCAAAAAAAAAAAAAAAAAAAAAAAAAAAAAAATTTATATGATGAACGCAAGTGGAAAAAAACCAAAATTACTTAAAATAATAATGCTTAGAGTACCTTTTCTAAATATTTCCTAATTTTACCAGAATAAAATAAACAACAACAACCCCCCCCCCTTTTCCAAAAAAAAAAAAAAAAAAAAAAAAAAAAACCCCCCCCCCCCCTTTTCCAAAAAAAAAAAACAAAAAAAAAAAAAACAACAGGTTTATTAGAAGGTCTATACATTTTTATGGGTTTTGAAAACTGGACATTTTAATAAATTTCATATGAACGGCAAAACAATTTTAAGAAGACATGAGTTGTTTACAGAAGACATTATATTTATTAATGTATGATTTTTATCTTAGGTAAATTTGTATACAAATGAAGTGTAAATTTACCAATATTCAGTAGATTGAAAACTTTTTGGGGGAGTTTCAAACTACTTTAACTTTCTTAAATTGCCTATTCGCTATACTTTAAAATGTTTTCATCTAAATCCAAAGAATCTATTTTTTAGATTTTTTTTTGTTAAACACGTACCAAAAAATGAAACTGGCATGATAACTTAATTCTAGTTCACAAAAAATAAATGATTAGCTTGCTACTGGATTCTCATCTAAAATAAAATTAATCATATAAAATGAGCCCAATGTCTATGGGTGGGGCAGTTTGTTTGTTATTCTGATATTGAAAAAAGAAAAGCAGTTAATTATAATAAATATGGGGTAAGTATTTAAAAAAAAAAACAAAAAAAAAAAAAAAAAAAAAAAAATTAATTAAAAAAAAAAAGGGGAAAATATTAAAAAAAAAAAAAAAAAAAAAAAAAAAAACAAACAAAAATCTGTTATTGGGGAAACTTTGTAGCAAAGGCAGCACGTTAAAGGAAAAAAAAAGACACTTTTGATTTAATCACAATTTATGAAACGTGCAGTTTGCGTCCTTTAAATTCCAAAATTAGAAACAAAAAGCATGACGCCTAATTTTTTTAGTCATGCTTTTGAGATGAACTAACGTTTGAAAACAGATTGCACATGTTTAATACTTGACTAACTATTATTAAAATTGTAGAGCTTTATAGGTATGTAAATGCATTATAATACAATGTCACTAAAGTCTTTAAACTTGTGCTAAAATAAATAAATGCAAATATGCGAACACCAGGAAGCAAGACTGGAGCGGTCAGTACGATTTTTTTAATAACTGATTACTATAACTTGATTAGCCTTAAATATACGGATCATCAAATATATCGAATCTAGCGAACTTTTTATAGATTCCACTAATTGTAATCTGTTTAAAGTTACAGTTACTATACAAGTGTCATTTTTAATTTTTAAAAATACATTTTTGATATATTGATGTACACATTGTGCTCCGGTTGGGGGGGGGGGGTGGGCAGTGCCCTTCCGGAGAGATAGTTGAAAGAAAAACTGATGCTAACAATAATTATATTTTTTCCAGGATGATACCATCTTTCAATTTGTAATTAACCTCATTCTCTACTATAAAAAGTCATGCTTTTATTATCAAATATTTAAAAACATTAAAAAAAAAGATTGCTCATGTTTGATACTTAGTGAGAACTCTATTAACATTATAGATCTTAAAACTGAAGCAAACGTAGTTTAATAAAATGTTATTAAAAGTATTTAAAGTTGTGAGTTTACAAAAATAATAAATACAAAATACAGAAAATTTCGAACGGGAAATAATTCTTCGGCTCATATCGTGAAATTTTCGAAACATTGCGATATTTATAATCGGATAACGTAAGCTTCTAAGAAGATTAGCCTTAACTATACGTCTCATCAAATATATCGAGCTTATCGATATTTCATAGATTCCACTAACTTTAATCAGTTAACGACACCAGCTAATATTCTTTTTAAAATTGTTTAAAATATGAAAATTTGGTAGGTTTTATCAAATATATTTTGTTTTGTTTTTGTACATATTTTGCCCCGGAAGGGGGGCACTTGACTTTCCCCAGGGGGAAGTGCCTCTCCCCCCCCCCCCAAGAGATAGCTGAAAGAAACCCTGATTTTTCCTGGGTGGGAGGCACATTCATACAAAATAGACCTTTGGGTGCCAACTCTACGTAGGCATATATCTACAATAATGACCCTGGCAGTCTCTGATAGAGCCAATTAATTGATTGATTGATTTTGATATTTATATCGCGCTGGTATCCGTGCCATTTTACCATGCTCACTGCACTCTGGTCCTTAGAATTCTATTTAAACAAAAAGTTTTTAATTGTTTCTTAAATTATTTTTTAGCATTTACAACTCCCTTAAACGATTGGGGCAAACTGTTCCATAATTTTGGCGCTATCGCTTCAAAAGAGCGCACTCCGTACGATTTTTTTTTCTATGTTCATCCACACTGGGAATTTTCAGTAAGGACTGTGTTGAAGACCGCAGGTTCTTTAAGGATACATGTTTATAAATCATTTTTTTAATAAATATTCCGGTGCTGAGCCATCTTTGCAGCTGTACGACAGGGACAGAATTTTGTAATTAGTGCGCTCACTCACAGGAACCCAATGGAGATCTCATAGAACTGGGGTAACCTGGTCAGATCTTTTCATCCGCGATACAATGCGTGCTGCAGTATTTTGTATCTTTTGGAGTCTTTGAATTTGGTTCTGAGGTAAACCCCACAAACAACTATTACAGTAATCTAATCTTGACTGGATTAGAGTTACCGATACAGCATTGGCTGTTCTCCTATTGGGTTGAGGACGCAGCTGACACAGGGCCCGCAGATGACAGACGCATGCCTTGACCACAATTCTCAACTCAAAATCTGTTATTAAGCCTCACCCCAAAGTTTCGCGGTTATCGTTGTACTACGCTTTGTGTTTTAAAACATAGCTCGCAAGATATCCCTGTAGTGAAATTTATCCAAGTACTAACCCACTAGTCTTTCCGTGTCGCCTCGTGACATAGTTATTTCGTTCAGTTAAATACCGGGGCTCTGAAAATCGTAGCTCTAACGTGTCTAAGCGGAGAATCGCGAAAAGACATCTCAAAATCGTACTCTGAACACCAAAATCATAAAAATAAACAGGTTTTCAGTAGGCCTACTACACAATTATTATAAGAACCATAATACATTCACACGTGCCTTATTTCGTCACGAGCCATGTTCATCGGGATGATAATGAAGAATTTCAAGAAATGAATGAATTGAATATTTTAACCAATTTTTACATTAAAAAATATAATGATAATGGAAATATACCATTCTATAGGATTATTTAATATAACTCATTTTTGCCTACGTCAACATTTGTGAGCATTATAATGATAGATCAAAATGAATATCACAAATGAATGAAATTTAAACAAAAACAATAATAAATATTACCATTCTCGTAGTTTTTTCCCCCCAAAAAATATTTACACGTGCTTTGGCCTAGTTGGAAAAAAAATTTGAAATGGAAGGCAAGAAGGGTCCATCATGCAGCCAGGAGCAGTTTTCGAACATGATTAGTCATATACGATGGCAGCAAAACGTCGAGCAATAATGAGAATCGAATTGCCGGCCTAGAGACATATAGTCTGACTTCATTCACTCTCTGCCGAAACCGAAAATTATTTTATCTGTTTCGGCACCGAAACTGAAATTCGGTCGGTCTCTAATTGACATAAAATGCAACACATAAACACACACACATACACGCGCACACACGCACAACACACACGCACACAGCACACATACACGCGCACACACACGCACACATACACGCACACACACAAGCACGCACACACACGCACGCACACACACGCACGCACACACACGCACGCATGCACGTACACACAAAACTTCTAAAACATTTAGACATTTTTTTTTCCATAGAAAAGTACATTAAAAATAGCTGATGTAAATATGACGAGGCTGATCCACTTTGTGAAAGGGCATGGACCAAAGTTAAACATTTATTAAATGATTATATTCACATTTTATTGCTTACTGCTTTGATGTTTACTATAGAATCAATTTAAACCGATCCGGGTGCTTACGTGAGGTGACTATACTATTATCTTAAGTTACGTGTTTAAATACGTGTTATCGAATATTCCACGAGAGAAGATACGCAATATCCTTATTATAAATATGTGGAATTCCCAAAAGGTTACGTGTCTCAGCTAAAAATAAGTCCACGTCAGCAAGTGATGGAGAATGTATACTTATTACCGTAATCGCTCAAATAAAATATTAAAAGCAACAATGACTGATAGATATTGACTAGAAAGAATCTAAAATGTAAATTATTCCAATAATAACACTTTCATGAAATCTTAATTTTTCTTAACTTTTACAAACAAAATAGTTCAAGAACTTTTGAAATTCAACTGAAAACGAAACTATTTTCGATCCATGAAAGTCGAAGATAACAATCCTCAGGTTATAGACTACTTACAACTACGTGTGAGTGGAGCAATGTGACAACCTGGGTTCCTTTCGACCTCCTTTTATTTTACAATAAGCAGGCCTGCCAGAGCGAAATTTTTTAAAAAGGGCAAACCAAATCAAGCCTAACCTGAAAAGGACCAAGGAAAGAAAAACAAAGGCGGTGGGAGTGTGGGGGGGGGGGGGCAGTGGAAAAGCAAAAATAAAACACTAATTAATATATTTTATGTACATTGCGACTATTTTCCGAATGCCGATTTCCAACTTTTCTTTTTCAAAACAATAAAAGTTTTTATATTATT